AAAAACATTATGGAATTTACAATATTTTCGACCATTCCTTTGTTCTGCCGAAGGCAGTTTATGATCTTCACTCAATTTAATTTGTTTGTCTTTTAATAAAACATCGAAGATTTTATCAGCCTTTGTCACATCGAAAGTATATGTTCGATTTGCCATTTTGTCTTTTACTTCATTTTTCTGTAGTAATTTACAGATATATGGAGCTCCTACTTTGAGCTCTGCTATGTTTACTTTCTCATCGACAATCTCTTCCACGTCATTCTCTGTCATGGGATCTATTTCGTACACATCATTTATATATGCTATTCTTTCTTTCTTCATTGGTTTTTCAAATTTCTTATATCTTTACTTCTCATACTCAATTTGCTCTACTCTTCTCACTTTATCAGCTAACTGAGCCATATCATTCAATGGTAAATTGACTAATTTTTTCCTAATCGAGAATTCTAAACCTGCAGAGGCCATTCTGACTAATTCATATTCAGGAATTTGAGTAAAGCATCTCGATTTCATTTGTCTAAATCGATTCAAATAATCATCTATGCTTTCATAATTGTATCTCTTTATATTCATCAAGTCGATGAGACTTACTTGAGTTTCTCCTCTAAAAAATTGCTCATGAAAATTTTTCTCTAGCTGCAACCAATTATATATCGAATTGGGCGGTAACGAAGTGAACCAAGTAAAAGCATTTTTAGTCAAAGAACTCGGAAAATATTTCATCTTTAATTCTTCACTCATCGCTAAATCCCCGCATTTGATCTGATATCGAGCCACATGCTCGATCGTCGATTCACCAATTTCTCTAGCAAATTTAGTGAATTTTGGTATTTTATATCCTCGAGGCAATTCTGTCTCGAGAATCGCATTCGGAAAGGGAGACACAAAATATGTCTGATTGAGTGGTTTGAATTCCATCCCTTGTAAATTCATCCTTTGTCCCAACATGTTATTCTGGTTATGTATGTTTTGAAATCCTTCGTTCAAATTCCCATAAATGTCATTTCCCACGTGTTGGTACTCATTTCCCATTTGTTGATCGTTGTTTCGATTTCTCCTTAAAAGATATGGAGGATTGATATTGGCGTTTTGGTTAGCATGATTTTCTACCCTTGTTCGTCGAGGTACAGCCAATGCATCCCCGATTCGTGACATTTGATCTGCTAATATCTCAAAACTAGCTGTAGTGTTTTGAACTAATGGGTTTAAGACTGTAGTCAATTGTTGGGATAACATATTCACCATCTCAAAATTGCTCTCATCCATTTGTTGTCTAAGTACCCCTAATGAGTTACTGGATATCCCAGTCCCGGTATTTTCGATAGTATCAAAATTAGATCGATGATAATCCCTATCGAACGCATATCTTCCATGATCTAAGTTTCCTCTATGATCTAGATTTGGAGGTATTTGCTGCGTTCCTACATTCTGCACACTCCCTGAGTTCTGGAGAATTACTAAATTTTGAGATGTTCCTAGGTTTGGAGATGCTCCAAAATTTTGTGGCATACCTAGGGTTTGGAATGTTCCTAAGTTATATCTCGAATTTCGATGCATCGAAGAAGTACCAACCCCATTCATGTTAAGCGAAAACCCAGGTGGTCTTATACTCATATACGGCCCAACATTTGTTGTTATAGGGTTTCCCATAGTTGGCATACTGCTTAGTGCCACCGTGCTAGATCCTACTTGGGTATTTGCTAAAGTGCCTGAGTTTTGTTCATTACTCACGGGTATCGTCATACTTACAGTTGTCGATACTACAGGTGTATTCCCATTCTGACTTTGCCCCCCAGTATTTGATGAATGTACACCATTTAGACCCTCACTATTACTCTGGTTACTTGATGAACTCTGACTCATGACTCTCCCACTCCTTAATCTCATACACTCTCGAACTAACCAATTTTGTGTCTCTCAACACAAGAAGCCCCTACCTGGCGCGCCAATTTGTTTCTGGTGGAATTTCGATCGATTTCGATTCTAAAGGTGATTTGGTCCTAATCAAAAATCCTCCCACGCAAGTTGTTTTTACTTAGGCTAGCAGTCTGATTTTCAATAAAAAATGTGTATGAGAATCGAAAGTCACATACTATCAAAATGCTATTTTTTAGTATTTTATCTTTAAAATGTCGAAAGCAGTAAAAAGTATCGGATCGATAAACGGAATATTAAATTGCGAGGAAATGTAAAGTGCGAAAACCCCAAATTTGCATTAATTGTAAATGACAAGAAATCGAAAACAGCGCAAATATAAATGACAAGAAATCGAGATTGCACGAAGAGTAAATGACAGGAAATCGAGATTTGCAAAATGTTAAATGACAGGAAATCGTAAATATAGAAATTTAAACTTTCATTGAATTAAAATGACAGAATTGAAAACACAGAAATATAAAACTGCTAAATTTAAGTTGCATCAAAATAAATTACCAAGGAAAATACAGAAAGCGGTAAATGTACTCAGTGAGCAAGGAAATCCAGATTGCCAGAAGCTTCATGGTGTTCGTCGTTTCTCCGGTAGACTTTTCACTACTAATTCTGTTCTCTGCCAATTTCTGCTCCCCCCTATTCCTTCCTCATTTGCTCTATTTATAGGGCATTGTTCAAGCCTTCCAAGAGCAGTTAACACGACTGCTACCACGTTCTTCGTGCGTATGACAGTTTATCTTCTATAGTTTCCCACGTTCTCACGATCTCCGACTTTTTTCCCATGGTTTCGAAACCGCTCTCTATACGTGCATTTGACTTACTTCCTTTCACGATTTGGCCAAAGTTTCGATGTCCACATTGGCTTTCTTTACTCTCGATTCTGTATTTTTCGAGAACTTCAAATTGCTTACGATTCCTTTTTTACCCTGGTCTCATATGACTTAGTTTTTATTCGACAACAGGTATTTGATTATCATTCACTCGATTCTCGATTGTGCTTCTCGATGTTATATGCTACGTACTTCTAATTAGACATCGAATGAATTTTAGTTTACCTTATCGAGTCACATTTTTGCCTTCATTTTCGATCGCTTTCCTCGATTTGCCATTAACACCCACAAATTGACTTTTTTTTATATAAATAATATTATTTTAAAAATATTTTCAAAATAGGCTGATTTGGAACATTATTTACTCAACTAGTACGGTCTATCGGCCATAGTAATTTCGCTCAAGCGAGAAATGCATCGCTTGAGCGAGGAGACCTAAAACTTAAGGGTTGTGTGGGGTTTAATTTCGCTCAAAAGATAAAATTCTCGCTCGAGCGAGAAATCCTTCGCTTGAGCGAGAAGACCTGAAATTAATCGCGTAATCTCAGGTGTTTTTTCGCTCAAGCGATGTGTAATTTCACTCGAGCGAGAACTGATTTAAATATGTGGTGACTCAAGTTGCATTATGTGGCTAACTGCATTGGACCTTTAGCCTGTGGTCAATTCTCGCTCAAGCGATGGGTAATTTCGCTCGAGCGAGAAGTGATTGGCTAACTACGTTGAACCTTTTGCCTGTGGTCAATTCTGGCTCAAGCGAGAAATTCATCGCTTGAGCGAGAAAATTTATAATAGATTATAATTTAAACTAATCAATCATAATTTTAAAATAATCGAATATTTAAAATTATGATTGATTATTTCTCTCTCGCTCAAGCGAGAAATCCATCGCTTGAGCGAGGAGATTTGAAACTAATGGATAATGTCGGGTCAATTCTCGCTCAAGCTATGAGTAATTTCGCTCGAGCGAAAAGTGATTAGCTAACTGCGTTGAACTTTTCGCATGTGGTCAACTCTCGCTTAAACGACAAATCCATCGCTTGAATGAGGAAATTTATAATCGATTATAATTTAAACTAATCGATCATAATTTTAAAATAATCGAATATTTAAAATTATGATAGATTATTTCTCTCACACTCAAACGAGAAATCTATCGCTTGAGCGAGGAGACCTAAAACTAATGGATAATCTTAGTGTTTTTTTACTCAAGCGATGTGTAATTTCGCTCGAGCGAGAACTGATTTTTAATCAGTTCTCGCTCGACCACAGACTAAAGGTCCAACGCAGTTAACCACATAATGCAACTTGAGTCACCACATAGTTAAATCAATTCTCGCTCGAACAAAATTACTCGTCGCTTGAGCGAAAAAACACCTGAGATTACCCATTAGTTTCAGGTCTCCTCGCTCAAGCGAAGAGTTTCTCGCTTGAACGAGAAAACTTCTCACTCGAATGAGAATTTTATCGCTTGAACGAAATTAAACCCTACAAAACCCTTAACTTTCAAGTCTCCTCGGTCAAGCGATGTATTTCTCGCTTGAACGAGAATACCATGAGCGATAAACGGTTCTAGTTGGGTAAATAATGTTCCAAATATATTATTTTGAAAAATATTTTTTAAAATAGTATTATTTATGAAAAAAATTCCCCACAAATTACCTCAATCACAACCACTAGCGAATCCAAATATTTTTCACGTCAAATACTACAGGATTCATAAAAAAATTTATGCCCAACATCAAATACTATCTAGCTAAAACTGGGGAAGAATCATGCAGAAATAATGTATATTAACATTGTTTTCATCATATAGCTATGCTTAACCAATAGTCATTCATTTAATTGTTTTTACGAAGATCTTTTTCCACGTTGGAAATAGCAGCAGCAAATTGCGACAGTATTGGACGCTGTGTACAGAATTTTCTTTTCTCCCCTCATCATTTAACCCTTAATTATCATAAGGATCAAGGTCTACGGGACTATTTAACATGCTTCTAATCTAACCATGCATGTAATTTGATAATTTCAATGTGTTCTTCCGATTGAAAGAAATCACCAAACCGCCATTTTTACTCTATTAGACTCTCACTAGCAGAATACATCATCTAGCGTCATTTCAACTGAGGCAATACCATTTCCATGTACATTCTACGTCTTAAACATTCCATTACAGGAAAGCCATCCTAAATCATCATCGATTATATTGGTTGAAGCATCACTTCCAAAGAGAGTTTCACTTCAATATCCTTTTCTGCTCCGGCTACCAGGACTTGCTAAATTCCTAGAACCGGGTGATTCAGGTGAACTGTGCAAATTTCTCAGACTAGGAGAGGAACCTCCTCGATGTGCAGGAGATGCAACTTGTCGTGGAGATCCTACACCTGCTTCGCTCCCTCTATTATATGCCTCAACCTCCAGACTTTTGGCTTCTTCACTCAGAACTGCTAACTGTTATACACAAAACATAAGTGCAACACATGTTTAGAATGATTGAACAAATGTTGTAATAGTCCTGGTGGACAAAGAAATCTCAAATTTACTGGGTTATCAAATAACTGATGAACATGCGTAAGGAGGAGTTACAAAATCCAAATTACTTGTCAAAACAGAAGGGGCGAGTTACTTGTAATTCAAATTAGGGAATTCTGTAAATAAGAAGTATAAAAAGAGGTCGAATTTCTAGGAGGACGGGGCAAAAAAGGATTTGAAATATATATCCAAAATCCCCTAAACTTTTGGAAGCTAATAATACGATCAACGAAAAATTATCATAATGATGCAACTACAAATGTTGATAAATACCCGAATTTCATTATCTCTCAGTCGATCTTGAAGTGTACTTATTGCAGGACTTAAACTGTAAAGTCAGAAAGAAGTAAATGGTTATTGGAGAAGTAAAAGAAAAAAGGAGGAACTATAAAATGGACATTTTGATCTGACCAGTATTCAATCAACTTGCACAAGGAAGCCTGATAAGTTGAAGTGTGGTGTATAAAAGTCAGAGGATGCACTTTCCCATCCCTGCAAAGTACAAACAGATGGTACATATGAAATTAAAGAATGTAAAAAGGATGACATATAATTAAAGCATATAAAAAATAAAATTAAAGACAGCTCGTTGAAGTATGAAGAGCATAAAGTTTATCAAATTATCACCTCATATTTTGTAATATGGCTTGATTATATGCATTTTGCTCCTCTTCAAATAATACATGTTGCAGATCTGTGTACGATGATAATGGTGAATCAAGGTTGATTAAAGACAAGGCTGGCACAACATAAAGGGGAATTTCTTTTCTTACGAACTCCGCGCCACTGCAACCAATAAAAGCCATTTAAACCCAGGACTGAAAGAAACTATCTTGTCAACCTCAATGATTAAACATGGTTGACCTGAAAGAAACTATCTTGTCAATCATAATACAAAGAATGCAGAAAAGGGTGCTGTTATGTTTTATAAAGAGTTGTTCTACAGTTATAGCTTCCATTTATCATTCAACCAACCACCAAGATTGAGAATCATCCACAGAATGCCTATCCCCAACTCCTGGGTGATTAAATTTATTAGTAAAAAATTTCCTCCCTTTTTCTTCCTGTATTCGCAAATACCTATCAGCTATCTTTAACCTTATCAAGGCACCTGAGATTTGAGGCGTTAGATACCATACGGCAGCAATCATGTTCCCTTATGTACCAAGAGGACATGACGGAGATGTTGATAAATGATAAAGATATTAGTGGTGCATTACATACTCATCAATATTTTATACCTCATGTCCAAATTTGAACGATGCATGGCCTCCTGCATACTTTCTGACATATCCATGGGATCAACATCAACTATGTTAGTGTCTGAATTGTTAAGATGGTAGTTTCCTCCACTTTTTTCTCTCCCTAGATAGTTGGCATCAGCATTAGCAAAGAAATTTCCCAAATCTGATCTCCCCCCGTCCTAAAAAATAAATAATTGTATAAATATTAAAAAAAGGAAACACAATGCAGTATTTTTTCCAGTACAGAGAAAAACTACAGTTTCATTGATGGGACCACCTCAAGGGACTGAATTCATTTACAATAATATGAACATGGAGAGTTTGTATTTTATCTTATATCCTCATCTCACCATATCAACAAAAAGGTATACACAAGAACCAACGTCCTAATAGGAAACTTCAAGTAAAATAAAAAATCAGAAAAAAAAAATGCAGATTGGACTCCTGCCAAGGGTGGTTCTGTGATAAAACACCAATTGATAAACTAGTTAAATACAATATGGTGCGCATAAATTGTGCATAATACAGCAATATACTTGTTGTCCTAGAGACAAAAGTCTCCTACAGAGAGTAGTCTTTGCTCACAAGCTGTAAATAACAATACACTTGCTTAATTACACACCGTAATATTACTAGTTATAATCCTAAAAGGTAACTCACACCTGTTAATTTCTATGAATAGCAGGCATTATTCAGTTTTCCATACAGAACTCATGCAGAATTACTAATACAAGTTACTTTATATCACATGCATGTATACTCCTAATACCATCATCTGCCTCCAATCCAACCCAGGATTCTTCCTAACCCACTTGAATATTAATACTACATATATTCCTAATAATAACTGACTCCAATCCATCAATGGATCCTACCTAACCCATTTGATCTCAGTTCCCAAAACAGAGACCAATAGCTTCTTTACATATTTTGAAAATATGTGATTCTAAAGCTTGTTGGTTCAAGCATCCTGCATTGAAGACTTTGTTATGCTATGAATACACCATAAAACCACACCACTGGCGGTGGACACTAAAAGACAATCTGTCATGTTAGTATTTTAACATTAGAAAAAATTCTGCAAATCATCTAAGAGATTTTTTGTTTAAAAGAGACAAAAAAACAGAAAACAAACATAACTATATTTTAATAAAGAAATCCTCTTACAATATCTGTAAGCTGCATCTTGTTTTTTTAATTCTACATTCAAGCATATTCTGCATTATAAATACCACTGTCTATTATACGGCCAACCACACAGCACAACATTCCAGATTTAAAATTCTTGATATATGATAAATTATACCTTACTGGCACCAACACTTCTTGAATCACCAGTGTCCTGCTCAGCGCCCTCTGCCTTGAAGTAACCAGATCTTATTGATGTATTCTCTGAGGAACTTGGTGACGAATCAATATCAATAATAGGGCTTCTATTTACAGGAGACAAAGGTATTGGTCTTGACATGTGATTCTGCTTTCCATCAGACGACTGGAAAGCAATTACCTGAATTCTTCCTACCTGAAAGACAGTACAGAGCTAGTTGATGATAAAATTAACGAAAACCTAAAATTGAAGAATGTTTTGGCCATGCATTGAAGACAAACCTTGTTTACATCTTCACTGTAACAGGAAAAAATCAAACCAATAAATCCAGAGTCAAGAAGCTGATACATTGCCTGAGTATGGACATCAACATGGGAAGGGAGAACTGTAATGTGAGGGTGTGAATGGTACCAACCAATGACCCTGGTTGTAGTTCCAGTGGCGGCGGTCATTCTTTCAGCGAGGGCAGAAGCAGCAGCCAACTGTTCAGGGTTGGTCTCCACACGATCCTTCCGCCGATCAGACCTCGTCTGGGGAGACGCTCCCCATATCAATGCAGTCACGTTCCCGTTTTTCGAATGCTGAATCAATCAATCCAATCCAATCACATCCATGGATCCATCCACCATAATTATTATTTATCTTTCAATCAACCTTGCTAATGTGTTTGTTTAATCGAATTGCTAATAGAATTAGGTTTAGGTTAGGTTACCTGAATGTCCCCAAGAAGAAGGCCCATAATCTCCTCGGTCTCAGTGGACAATGCATGAGTGACGCAACTTAACCACACTTCCTCCGACATTTTCACGCTGGTTAGAGACATTTCTCGATGGATTCAATCGATTCCTTCTTCTTCTCTTCGATACACAAACACCCACCGATTCCTCTCTCTTCCCTCGTTATCTCTCTTTGGGCTTCCTTGGGGCTCCTCACCAAAGCCTCACCCTCAACACGATAGCAACACACCACGCAGAAACAGTTCAGTTCCTCTTCTTTCTTCCTAATTAATAATTTTTTCTCTATACTTTTACATATCTTTAATTTCATTTCTTATAAAATTTTAATTACATATTTAATCCTCTAATTTTACTACACCAATATGTTTTAATGGGAATTTGTTTTAAATTTAAACCTAATACCTCCCTTTATAAATAAATAAATAAAATAAAATATTATGTGTAATAAGAGTAATAATTTACATTTCCTATTTTACAATTCTTATTTAACCATATAATAATAAGTATAACAATTAAAATTTCATTAATAAAAATATTGCTGAATGATTGTGTTGGTTGATGAATTGATTGTCAACAGTACTTTCATGTAAGAAATATATATTATAAAAAAACTTAACATCGATCAATTAAAAATAGTAAATTCTACTAAATTTAGGCTTTTCATAATAATTTTATAGTTTGTCATAAATTTTAATTAATCGTAAATTTATATATATATATATATATATATTCCGTTTTTACAATAATTTGTTTGAAAAAAAAAACATCTTTTTATAAGGCAAATGTAATTATCTAAAACACTCTTTATCTCATTGCAGTTTTAGGTATATAAAAATATTGCAAATCCAATGATTATTTTATTCTATAACCAAATATATGTTTTTTTTATTTTTTATTTAAATTATTTTAATAAATATAAAAACTAAAAAGACCAAAACAAATTTTCTCTTTTGTTTTCCTAATCTTTTTCAGATGATCTGACACGAGAAAATAGAAAAAAATATAATAAAAAGTAAATAACGTGGCGAAAATCCACGGCTCATTCCCTCCATCGAAAATGTAAATGACACTGGATTCCAAGAGCGGCACGTGCCTTATACGTGTCATGATGTTGGACACGTGGCTATATTACAAAAGGCATAAAATGCTATAAATAGAAATAGAAAGCAACTCAAACAAGGGCACAGTAAGTTGTTGTTGAGAAAAGAGTGTTGGAAAAGAAAAAAAAGTAAAGAGAGTTTCGTTGAGACACAGTTTGAAGAAAATATGGCATCCAATAAGCAAAGCTATGATGCTGGTGAAACCAAGGGCCGAACTGAGGTAACCATCATTTACATCTTTTTTTTCTTTCCAATTCATATATAATCACTTAAAAATTAAGTGCTTATTCTTTAAGAACTCATTAAGAGGTGAAAAATAATCTGTTTTTGTTTGGTGATAAAGGAAAAGACGAAGCAGACGATGGGCAATATTGGGGATAAGGCTCAATCTGCAAAGGATAAGGCCCAGGAAATGGCCCAAGCTGCGAAGGACAAGACTTGCGACACTACCCAAGCGGCAAAGGAGAAGGCCCAACAGAATAAAGATGCTGCTCAAGGGAAGGCCTCGGAGATGGGCCAATCCACGAAGGAATCGGCCCAATCTGGAAAGGACAACACCCAGGGGTTTCTGCAGCAGACAGGGGAGAAGGTGAAGGGCGCGGCCCAAGGTGCTACAGAGGCTGTGAAGCAAACCTTTGGGCTGGGCCAGAATGATGAATACAATCGCAGAAATTAATTAGTAGTTTGTCTTGTGGTGGTTCTATGCAGCATCAGTTTTTAAATAAGCTGTTATTCCCTCTTACCTAAACCATGTTCTGTTATCTGCAGTTTTTTTATTCTGTAGTTTCATCTATGTTCAATTCGATGCTATATATATAGCCTTAAATTTATAATATCAGCTATGTTATACCAATCCTATGGTCTTTCTTTGCTTCGTCATTCTTCTCGAGCCATTTTGATTTTCAAATTTTTAAGGAATTATGTAGATTTAGTTTTATTTCAAGTGTTTTTCATTTTGGGTCAATAATTAATTTTACCATAATTTTATTCGGTCCCATTATTAAATCAAATCTCATTTTATCATCTTTATCTTCACATAAATTTATTTTATCATCCTTATCTTCACATAAATTTATCTTTTGGTCTTTCCCTTTGGAATGTTTGGATTGATCTTTATAGTAAAAAAAAGATAAAAAATTAAATAAATACAAAAGTTGTACAGTTAAGGTAAAAAAATGCAAAAATTTATGAATGAAAAAAATATTTTAGATATTTGACATAGTTACGTAGAGAAATTAGAGGGTGCAAGAAACAAAAACCTATAGGAAAAGGCGAACCAAATGATGGGCAATGTTGGGAATAAGGCCCAAGTTGCAAGGACAAGTCCAAGAAATTTTAATTATTTATCATATTAAATAATTTATTAAGATTGATTTATTTATTTTTTGCCAGTAACACATATTTTAACTCGAATATACTTCATCTATAGAAACGATTCTATAAAAACTCATAAAAATTTTATCTTAAAACCTCTTTAGGTGTTTTAGATTTTCGTGTCTCTTCAACACTGTGAATTAAATAAACACGATTATTAAAAGTTAAATTTAATTGAAACATTAAAGGTAAACTTCGAAAGTCATATAACTATAATTAAAGGTAAACATTATTTACTACCAAAATATTAATTTTGAGGTTTGAGTAGGTCATGGGACGCTGTCTCAAATTGAATCTATTTTGTTATCTTATTTAACATAGTTAATAATTATTTTTTTAAAACAAATTTTTTTAATATTGATGTTTACAATCATCTTTTTCTTCAAAATTGAAAAATAATGGCGTTAAATTTGATAGAAATAATGCATAAGACTAAAAATATAATGAGGGAAAAACTTAGAGAAGACATGCATTTATATATTGGCAAGGAAAGTTACAAAAAGTACCTAAGAAATAAATATGACATATAAATATATACCCTTTTCATAATCTACATATTATTGTTCCATATACCTTCCTAATACCATGCATCAAATTATACTTATCACGTATTATGAGGATCCTTCAAGTCCCAACCTTGAACTAAGCCAAGTACAAACCTCATCCATCTCTCTGGGAACTGTGTAATGGCCAAGCCTGCACACATGAAAAAGCAAAAGATGAACACTTGATTTAACCATTCCAAATCAATTAGTGGGATGATTTCAACTATAGAAGAAGCTACCCATCATAGGATTTGAATGCAACATATCGAAACCCTGCTGAGCATAAAGATTGAGCTGATTTTTCACCATATTTGTGAAGGATTACATCATCACCTACAAATAGTACAAAGCATGTGAGAATCCTAAGCAATAAACTGGTTTAGATTTACAATAAACTTGCCTCTCAAAAATTAGGAACAATGACTTCAACTCATTAGTTTTATAGATACATACTCAGTCCATGGCACAACAAAATGGGTAATGAAGTTGCACGTCTTCTTGCTTCATGTGATACTTCTATCTTGTTCCTTAAACTCCTATAAATAATGGGTTTTAACCATACTGTCAGTCATGTGAATTTAACAAGTGGATCATTGTTGATTTGTTCTTAAATGATTATGGGAAATATGACGAGAGAATAATGTTAGATATTTTCACAAAAAGATCAATAAAAGTCTCATGTTTCAGCTAAATGACTAATGTTATCAATGAATCTAAAACAATTAGTTTTATAACATACCTTGATCCAGGAAGCCAACCACTCAGTCCAACCACTGTTCTTAGATTGATAGGATAGGGAGTGTCATTTCCATACCTTCCAATGGCAAAACAAGTTGCAGAGTATAGAGCTATTGCTGCACCCATGCTGAAGCCTCCAATAGCAACTTTCACTATCACATAATGAATTGTTTAGCAGAACAAATCTTCTAGATATCAATTAATCTATCCACAAATTGGGATATGTTTAAAGAACAAAAACCTAGTTCAAAGTTAAGGATTTCATATCTTTCAAACTTTTTTCAATGAAATTCAAACTCAGTTCGGTGTTTCTATTAGAGTTTTGCGCAGTGATAATGGTCGTGAATATCTTTCTCATTCTTTTAAACAATTCATGGCTTCTCATGGTATTTTGCATCAAACTTCTTGTGCTTATACACCTCAACAAAATGGTGTAGCTGAACGTAAAAATAGACATCTTATTGAAACAACTCGCACTCTTTTAATTCATGGAGAGGTTCCTCAGCATTTTTGGGGTGATGCTCTTCTTACTTGCATGTTATCTTGTTAATCGCATGCCATCTTCGGTTCTAGATAATAAAATACCTCATTCCATTTTATTCCCTCATGAACCACTTCATCCCTTACCTCTAAAAGTTTTCGAGTCTACATGTTTTGTTCATAATTTTAGTTCTAGTCTTGACAAGCTTTCTCCTAGATCACATAAATGTGTTTTCTTAGGGTTTACAAGATCACAAAAAGGATACAAATGTTTTTCTCCTTCTCTTAACCGTTATTTTGTGTCTGCAGATGTCACCTTTGATGAGTTCTCTTTTTATTTTAAAAGTCAATCTTCACCTCTGTCTCCATCCAATATTGTCAACACTCCTAGTACATTTAATGTTCCTGTTGTTTGTGACCCTCTAATTGTGTCTTCTTCACCATTAGATTCTACTCCGCAGTCAACTTCTTCTTCACTACCTCTTCAGGTTTATAGTTGCCGAAACCAATCACAACCACCACCATGTGACTCTACTCAAGTGCCAACTACTCTGTCTCCTCCGGATGTGACACCTGAGTCTGACCTTCCCATTGCCCTCCGAAAAGGTATCCGTTCTACACGTAATCCCTCTCCTCATTATATTGGTTTGAGTTATCATCGACTGTCATTACCTTTTTATACATGTCTTTCCTCTCTTTCTTCTGTGACCATTCCAAAAACTGTCCGTGAAGCTTTAGCCCATCCTGGTTGGCGTCAGGCCATGTTAGATGAACTAAGTGCTCTTCATAATAGTGGAACTTAGGAATTGGTCTCGTTACCGTCTGGAAAATCTGTTGTTGGTTGCAGGTGGGTGTTTGCTATCAAAGTTGGACCTGATGGTACTATTGATCGCCTCAAAGCACGTCTTGTGGCCAAAGGTTATACTCAAATTTTTGGTTTGGATTATGGAGATACCTTTTCCCCTGTGGCAAAGATGACTTCTGTTCGTTTATTTATCGCCATGGCCGCTCTTCAACAATGGCCTCTTTATCAACTAGATGTTAAAAATGCTTTTCTCAATGGTGATTTGCAAGAAGAAATCTATATGGAGCAACCTCCTGGTTTTGTTGCTCAGGGGGAGTCTTCTGGGATGGTATGTCGTCTTCGCAAATCCCTATATGGCCTAAAACAGTCTCCTAGGGCCTAGTTTAGAAAGTTTAGCAAGGTTGTTCAACAATTTGGTATGACTCGGTGTGAAGCAGATCACTCTATCTTTTATCGACACTCAAGTGCTGGATGTGTTTACTTGATAGTATATGTTGATGACATCGTTCTTACAGGTAGTGACAACCATGGCATCTCTCGGTTGAAACAACATCTCCGTCACCATTTTCGGACCAAAGATCTTGGCAAACTTAGATATTTCTTGGGTATTGAGGTGGCACAGTCCAATGATGGTATTGTTATATCTCGGAGGAAGTATGCCATGGATATTTTAGAGGAAACTCGGGTTGATGAATTCAAAGTCCGTTGATACGCCCATGGATCCTAATACTAAACTTTTACCAAATCAGGGGGAGCTTTTACCCGATCCCGAACGAGTATAGAAGATTGGTTGGAAAATTGAATTATCTTACGATTACTCGTCCCGACATTTCCTTTGCGATCAGTGTGGTAAGCCAATTTCTTAATTCCCCATGTGAAGATCATTGGAATGCGATCATTCGTATCTTAAAGTATATTAAAAGATCTCCTGGAAAAGGATTGTTATATGATTCTAATAACCATACAAGAGTTGTTTGCTACTCGGATGTCGATTGGGCGGGATCTCCTTCCGATAGAAGATCTACATCCGGATATTGTGTCTCCATTGGCGGTAACTTGGTCTCATGGAAAAGTAAGAAACAAAGTGTTGTGGCAAGATCTAGTGCGAAGCGAGAATATAGAGCTATGGCCTCGATTGCTTGTGAACTTGTTTGGCTCAAGCAATTGCTTAGAGAGTTACAATTTGGAGATGTCACTCAAATGTCACTTGTGTGTGACAATCAGTCGCTCTTCATATTAGTTCTAATCCTGTCTTTCATGAGAGGACCAAACACATTGAGATTGATCTGTCATTTCATTCGAGAAAAGATTATGTCCGGAGACATCAAGACCGAGTTTGTTAACTCAAGTGATCAGTTAGCGAGATATTTTTACTAAATCTTTACGGGGTCCTAGAATTGATTATATTTGTAACAAGCTTGGCACATACGATTTGTATGCTCCAACTTGAGGGGAGTGTTAGATATTGTTTAGATATTATTTAATATTGTTAAGATATTGTTAGATATTAACCATAATATCAAACAATATCTTCTGTTTATTCTGTTACTTTCAGTTACTCTTTTAGTTGTATCTCTCTACTATAAATAGACTACCCTATGTGTGATTTATACACAAGGGAGATTAATCTCAAACTCTATTTCTTCTATATTCAACAAGGATGAATGCACGAATTAATAAAATAGAGATATTAATCTAATCTCTTAACTAATCCTAATAATGAAATGATATTAGGGGACCTTGCAAAATTGCAAAAAGTTGGCATCTAATTAAGTGTACCATCAGCAGGCTCTGTTGACAGCAAGTTAGCAATGTGTGTTGCTGAGGCATCCAAACCCTCCCAATCATCTGGGAAATCTTCTGAAAGTTCTCCCACATCAAACCCTGATAAATGACCCAATAAGCAAGTTATACTTCTTTTTTATGACTATGCAAGTTTTAGTTTACATAGTGATGATTAAATTAAAAAAGTGTAGTAAAGAAAAAAGTGATGTCATACATGCTGTACAAGGAAAACCACCAAGTATTGCCACAGGACGGCTAGGGGCAGTTGGACAAATCCATTTTATCTACATCGTGTCATGACATATTGTGAGAAACAGCATATTATAGAACCCTTTTAAGTTATCATCATTATGGAGTGAGAACTTAGCACAAAACACTTAGTTGAATTAAGTTAATCTCAAAATTATTCAATATATAAAGTTCTTACATTTGGAAGTGGAAGGGATTCCAAAAGCTGAGATGAGCTACAACAAAACAAAGCTCAAAATTAGATAAGAATACCTTTGCCAAGTATATTAGTGGTGGAAATTTTAGAATAGCTAGATACTGTCAGAGAGATGATTACATCCATACCTCAAACCATTATCACCAAGACCATGCAACCAAACTATAGTGGCTTGGTGTTTTCCTTTGGGTCTCACTACGTATGTCTTTCCAAACTCATAACCTCTTCGAGTGGTTCTACTACCTACAGTTGTAAGTGAGAAAACTATGCAGTGACAGTACTTTAAATAAGAACTGACAGTACTCATAACCTCCAAAGTTTGAAGATGATTACTAACAGATTCAAAAAGATGAGTTCAAAGTCATGACAGTACTTTAAATAATGCAGGAAGATGGAGGAAATAAGAATACCAAAAAGTTTACACAACAAATAAGTAATGAGTTATACAATCCAAAGACTAAAGTTCATATGCAAGGTGTAAAGAAAGATAAGAGACTATGAAGAGGAGAAAAATAACAAACCAGAGCCCATATGAGAATGTGCATTAATCATTTTGTTTGAAGAACATGGAGAAGCAGCACAAGCAACCCCAGTCACTACACTTGAGTATGAAAAGTTTCTACAATGAAGAAAATGTAGGATATGATGCCCCTCTAAACCAAAAAGGGTATAGTAGAGTTCGAATGAAACATGTGAATATGCAATGTATATATAGTGACTAATGGGTGCACCAACTATAGGGTGATGATGTTGCAACCATCCATGAAAAGGTGAGGTAAAGACAAAAGAAGGGAACCTTTATGAGCATAGAGAATCAAAAGCGCAATCATCCATTCTTAAGCTGCACGATTAGAAGAGAATTTCACGTTTAGTCTCAATTCTTCGAAATATTTGTTAAACTAATTTACTTATTGATCTAAATTAAAATTTCCCATCATCTTATTGTCTTCTTAGTCTTGTTTACTCAGGTTGAAGTTCTTTCTATCTTTACCTACTCAAAGGAGAGTAAATGGAGCTTATTAGTATTGTTTTTCCTTCGTTCTAGTTCCCAACATACTATAATTAAGCTACGTAACTTCACTCGAAGTTCAAATTAGAATTGACAAGAAAAAGGAAGTGATCTTTTCGTTCCAACCTTCCTTTTCTTGTTTTTTTGCTTGCCACTAAACATAGTTGCTCCAACCCCACCTAAAGAAAAGTTTTATTTGTTTATACAAATGAGAAACAACATAAGACTAAAGGCTATAAATCTTGTCTTAAGTAAAATGATAAATAGTAACGAAGCTTCTCTTTAACACATTTAAGTGAGAAAGTTAACCTCCTAAAACTTTATCTATTTATCATACAAATGTCTTCTTTAGAAGATGAAAAATAGAGGTTTGAGTTGTATTTTTTTCCCAAAAGGAATCTTAAGAAACATAACATATATATACTTAAGTGAAAGGTGAACCTAACATACATCACAAATTCAAGAAGATAAAATTGAGGTTTACTGAGGTAAATCATCACACCATACATAGGTTAATGAGTACATTCATTGTGCAGCACTATGTGTGTCCCCCTATAAAATGCAACTTTCATGCAAGCTTACATGGAAATCTTGATGTCTTACTTGTCCTTCCTTCTATCCATTATCTACTTTATAGTATACCATCATTCTTTGCTTGCATTGATGGAGACTCTGAACTAATATGAAAAATTCAAATTGGAATGTAATTCATGAACCAAATTCTTTTACCTAGTGTCAAACTATCATGATGTGTGATTCCTTTGTCATATTGTTAGTGTAATAAACCTTCCAAACATTCTTCTTAACACAAGTTAGATTTATTAGGTGAATTATCCTTTGCAATATAGGCAAGTCCCCATTTGAAAAAAAAAAAAAAAGGGTAAATGAATGTCTATAATTCTCATTCATACACTATTTTTGTCTGCTTTAAGAAGATAAAGATGTTTTCTTATTCAATGAAAACTAATTTTCATTTGCACCTCTTCATTAGAAAATCTAAATTTTTTTTTGAACTTGAGAAAAGAATATGATTTGGTTACATTTTACTAAGACAAAAACATCAAACTAGATCTATAGATAATGTGTGGCGTGGCAAATGCTAATTGGTTGACCTGTTAATGATTGATCATCTAATATCTCTAAGTTAAAAAATAAAATAAAAAATGGTGGATTTTCCCTCGTTTAAGGAGAATTTAGATGAACTTTCAATTTCGTCAACTCCTCAGAAGCCTCACACTCAAACACACAAAGAGAAATAGTTTGAAAATCCATTTAAAAATAATAATATAAGGAGGAGACAATATATGGTGTTGGCACTACCTTCTTATTGGAGATTAAAGTACTGTGTGGTGACTGTGATCTGCAAGATTGGAAGGCTCAAAATAGGCAAAGCTTTTCAATAAAGGTAGCATATTTGAGTACCCAATTGAAAAGTGTGCAAACTTCGAAATCAGAACTCTTTAGTGCAACTCACGTATGACCATTTTCAAATATTTTGGAGATCTCATCTTGCTACAAGCTGGCATGCACACACACATAAATATTCCTTTGCATCAAGAAAAGAAAAAAAAAAAAAGCATTTTCTTTGAAAATTTAACTCAAACCACAAAATAGTTATGTTTTAACAAGTAACCCATTTAACACACGTCAATGCTCTTTCAAGGGAGTAAAAGTTGATTTGAGTGAGATTCAAAACCAAATCCTTGCATTCAACAGAAAACAAAAAAAATAAACTAGCTTCTTAAGTTGAAAACTTCCCTTTTCCTTTATTAGTAGGTACTTTAATTTTAAGCTTTTAGCTTAAACACCACGTTTGTGTTACTAATTAGCTTTAACACCATCATCATCTTCATCATCTAGGCCAAGAGGGTAGCACTCATCTATTTGCCTATTGACTAGGCATTTGTGAACCATGACATGCTTGTTTCTAGCTTCATTATTTGTCATTCAAAAGTTTAGATGAAGATACACTAAAAAATTTCATCTATTAGAACAATCAATTATCAATGATTTTATATATTGAAACAAATATATACACTAAAAGTTGTTTGTTTCTCACTCTCAATTTTAAATGGAAATCCATTTTTTTATTTTTTTTCCTTGTTAACTTTATTGTAACTTTATGATTGACTTAATGTCTCCAACTTCATACAAATTTATAGAAAATGATTATGAAAAGCATAATCAGTGCACGCCTTGCAGCCTTTACTGTTGAGATTTCTTTGGGATATCTCTTGGTGTGAAATCTCAAACATGAAACAAAAGATTGTTTAAAAATTTGTAGAAATCATGCCTTTAATTTTCTTCCTTCAAATTTGAGATTATTTTGATGTGTTCGTGTTTAATCTCAAAAGTTGAGTAATACAGGTTCGTAATGCAACAGTGCACATTAATCAACGAAAAATGATGCTTACTTAATATTATTTTATGTATATATTTTATTTAGTTGTTTTTGATTAAATGATAGAGAATATATATTTGATATTTTCATGTTATTTCACTAAAAAAATGCTTATTATTTACGGGTAAAATCTGTAGATAATGACAAAATTACGTAGGTAACGCACTCACTTAAACAAAATATTTATATTTATATATATTTATATTTATATATATTTATATATATTTATATTTATATTTATATATATTTATATTTATATATTTATATTTATATATTTATATTTATATATTTATATTTATATATTTATATTTATATTTATATTTATATATTTATATTTATATTTATATATTTATATTTATATTTATATATTTATATTTATATTTATATATTTATATATTTATATTTATATATTTATATATTTACACGAATAATTTGTAAATTATTATTAGAATATCCTAATAGTTTAGTGATTGGAGTATTAGTTTTCAACTTTTAGGTATTGGGTTCGATTCTTGCTAGTGACAATTCTTTTAAGGTTTAATATAATTTACCTACGGATAGTAATTTCGTAGGTAATTTACCCACGGATAGAATTCCGTATATATTATCCGTAGGTAATGTACAATTTACTTACGGATTTTTATCCGTGGGTAATATCCGTAGGTAATGTAAAATTTACCTACGGATTTTTATCCGTAGATAATATTTTGTAGATAATAGGCTTTTTTTTTTTTTTTTTAGTTTTTCTCATTTTACTAAATCTAATCCTGAATGATGATATGCTGATTATTAAAGGAAAAAAAATGTATTTTGATTTTTAGGATCTGAAAAATGTTTTGCACTAATTTTCTACTAAAAGTATAGGATGGAGTAAGACAAATGGTGTAACCACCTTCTCTGTGAAGAAAAGAATTTTCAATAAAAGTGTGATTTTGCGATTATTACTTGGGCTAAAAAAAGTAGATTTTGAATGCTATGCAAATTTCAAAATATCGTTCGATGTTGGGGTGGACCAATATAAATTAAAAGACAAAACTTGTTTAAAAAGTGAAAAAGAAGTTTAAGCTCATAATTAAAAGTCAAATACAAATGATAGGCCATTTTGATATATTGCACTTCATGTTTGGTCCAAGGGTAATCATTAATTGTTATGTTTTTGGCTTACTTACGTGAATATTTCTAATTTAATTAAAATTTGTTGGTTGTTACACTCTTTCCCCATGGTTTGTGGTGATGCAGTAACAAAACGTATAATTATATGATTACATTTATAAACTATTTTAGTATAGTTTATAGTTTATTTTAGAGATATGACATATTGACATGGTCGTCAAGATAAATTTTTCCTTTATTTTATTAACCTCTACTTATATTACTAACATAGAGATATTTAGACATGAATTCATCTCATTAACTTGTGACATTTTTTACATAATGTTTGAAGCAGTGCTTGAGATTATAGGTTTTTTAGTGTTATCCTTGATATTTCAATAAAAATTCTCAATTACTGTATCTTTATATATCTCACTGTGTATTTTGATTATTATTTTTTTTGCTCTTTAAAATACTATTTAATTTTTAATAAAATATTATATCTAATAAAAAAATAAGTTTAAAATTGACTAAGACATTTTTTTATAACCATTAACTAAGAAACTTAGAAGTAATAACTATTAAGGATATATTAATGTCTTATTATATCATTAACATTTTACCAATTAACTCAACACTTAAATTTATTAAATACTTTAAATTAATAAATTACTTCAATAATTTACATATTTTAACTAAAAAAAACTCATCATATTTGGTTTTCTTATAGCTATTTTGTTAAAATATTACACCTACAATGTATAGGTGTGGGGGGAGATTTTTCTAAATTTGTTATTCTCTAGTAAAATTATTTAGAGAAATTCTAAATTCTAAAATATATTATTTTAATATAGGTTGATTTTTTTAAGTTTAAGGTTACTTTTTTTTATAAAAAAATTAAAAGCAAAAGTTTTATTAAAAATGATAAAATAGATTTCAAAATTAAATGATTTCAACAAGATTGCATTATTAAAATTAATACTACTGTCAATATGTAAGAGAAAAATAGACGATGAAAAATAATATTTAAAAATTTAAGTTAAATTTAAATGTGTGACTTAAAATCAAATCGAATAATCGGTATTCGTCCTCATCAGTCCAAAAATTTGAAACCAAACTTAAACTTAATCAAACTCAATTTTTCCTTAGAAAAAATTGAACCCAAACTTACACTTAATTTTTCCTTGTGAAACTTAAAACCATTGATATCAAACCCACAACAATATAATTAATTAGCGTCCCTAATCTTAATATAAGCTTACAAGAATAGCAAGTCGTAACCCATCCCTACACCAACTTACTCAATAACCGCAACAAAGAAAAAACACAACATGAAATTTTTTATTCCTAACTTATAACCATGTAATATTCATTAATAAGGTATTCTCAATATTCATGTGTATTTATAATTGTTTATAATCATCGAGAATATAAAAGTTCTGCATAATTCAACAAAAATATAACTAGAGTTAATTTTTTAACTTAAAAAACACGCAAGCACAAAGGATTATGCATAATTTAACAAAAATATAACTAGAATTGTTTTTTAATTAAAAAAACTACAAGCACAAAGGGTTATGCATAATTTAAAACTAAACAAGGAAAACACTTATGTTCTCTCCATCTGCGTTGCCAAAAATTTATTCAATTCGATGAAATTTGTATACGGTTCGTGGTTTAGGGGTGCTAAAAGTAGTTGTAGGCTCTACATATTCAAGAATCGTGTAAAAGAATCGGTGTTGCTATCAATTATTTGGCAGAGCCAAAAAAAGATATCCTTACAGGATTTGATAGCTCAATCGAATGACCAGCATGTTTCTAATAAATAATGACAGAAACTTCCTATTCTAAAGTCGCAAAACTGCAAGGTATAGACCAATCAAATCCGAAAAAAAACAAGGCCTCGTAATTTTGAAAGGTGAATTTGTCTCCCTTCTCTTTGCAAATTTTATTTCTGAAAGAAAATTGCGGGATGGAATCAATGATGATCGCCGAGTCCATAAGGATCGCCACCAGGTCCGACCACTTTCAGCTGTAAAGAAAAACCAAATAATTAGTTTTAAAGAGCAGTAAAGCACACAACAAAACAGTAACTTATTTATATTCAACTAAAATTTAAGTTGGTGACAAGAGTGAAATTTAAGAATATTCAGAGTGTCCTCTATATTGGAATTCTCCGGTTGTAGCTCATTAACGCAAAAGCCATTAGCATGATGCACTCCACTAAACTTCATAACTATATCCAAGTAGGAACGACGATATATTCACCCTGTAGAGGAATTATAGTTCGTAGAGCACCTCCTATGCATGTTATTAAGATGTTGTAGGCAAATACCATATGGTTTCTCTAATCAAACATAATACCAGCTAGGCATTACAAGAAGCGTTGATGAGGGTTGAAACTAACAAAAGATAACAAATCAGTTCGTGTAAAATTTCCTATCCAACATGAATAAAAAGTTAATTTAAACCCAAATTAAGTCCACGCTACTTCATTGCTTCTGGAGAGCAAAAGGTTCGTTCTTCTGACTTATCACTCTTTTTATGAGGTTAAAAGCAGATTGACACTCATACCCAATGGCTTCAAATGTTAATACATTTAAAATAAATTGCGAAATTTAACATAGGAATCAATTTAAAATGTCATTTTTTGCTAGCATAGGAATCACACATAAACACAAGATATTAACATGCTATAACTGCTAAACCAAGCAAACAATTGTCAGATAATCTTACTTCAGGCTATTCAGGGAATTCATTATATTGGGTAACAATAGAAAGTGACCCAAAGCATGTCATGACACAGATCTAATAGGAGTATAACAAGTCGAAAAATTTCTATCAACATAATCACATATCTTGACATTTAACTCCAAATATATCACGGTAAGCCACAATGGTATCAACAGATTCTAAATGTGATTCTCAACTTAACCTCAAAATACTGTGAGCACACTGGACATTCATAAGGCCTGCCTTTCTCGAGCCAAAACCAGACAACATCATGCTCATCTTCTGCAGAAAAAATGGGGGGGTTTCATCTCACAATGATACCAAGATCTACTACTTTTCATCATATTATGAAAAGGCTTGCACACAGATTCATAGAGAAAGACAAGGGTCACTTACCACCTTCACCTCCTGGGCATCCAACGATCCTTCTGTCGTAGTAAGATTTAACAAAAGCAGGTGCTTCCTATCAATTAAAACAAACAACAAAGCAGGCATATATCAAACATACTTGAAAACAGTTATATATTAGGGCAACATGATAGGAGGTAACGAAGTGGATTTCTTCAGTTCAAATTAAAGTTGCATAACGACAACTCTACCTATAGTTAAGTCTCTGTTTTGTTTAATGTCAGGAAACCCTCAAATTGCGGTTGGCTAAAAGCTCAACACGGTATAGATCCCCTCTATTTTCTAGGCTCATGCTTATTCTTTAATCTTTATCTTTTACAATCAAAATACAGAGGATTGCTTCTACACTAAACTCAGTATGTGTGTATGCAGATTTTGCCCTTCACATATCCTGTCAGAGCAATAGCTCCAGAGAATTGCTTCTACATTAAACTCAGTAGGCATTAGAATAATTAGTAATGGTCCCAACCCAACGGTCATTTAGCGTTATACATATTACAATTTAATTATATAATCCAAAACTATTCAAAATATATTTTGTTTTAAACATAATGTATGTCAAGGTTAAAATATAATTCTGGTCTAAAACAACGAAATGAAACAAAAGGACAATATGAAGACAGCGATAGGGTACTCATAATACGCTCTTAAGTAATTAGACTGTACAGTATACATCCAATTGTAATTTATAACAGTTCGACGCGAACATTACGCGCACGCATATATATAAAGTGGTACTAAAACTAACCTTTGTGCCGAAAGGACCTACAGGGTGGTTGATTTCAAGAATATCCCTTCCCTAAACGAAAAGAAACAGAACAAAAAAGAAATATATAAGCGTATGAAATGCAAAAAAGAAGCAGCAAAAATGATGAGCAGACTACAATCGTAAGAAATCACGATATTCAACGCAAGGAATCTCTTCCATTACGCACAATTAATCCACCGATTTTCTGATATGTTATATAATTGGATTTAATTGATATTGTTGATTGCAAAGGCAGAATCTAAGATACCTCGAGATCGGCCTGAATTTCCTCACGCTCGTGACCGGTAGCAATTGGCACCACATCTTCGACCCTCTTTTTGACGGAAGAAGCGCCTGATTGGGATAAGAACAACCGAAATAGAATTAAATTGAGCTAAAATCAAACAGTGCAATGCAATCGGGGGAATAAAAAGAGAGAGAGCGAAAACCTGATTGAGCGGTGATGTGGCGGTTGAGAAGAGGGGCGGCGAATCGGGGACGAGAAGGTGAGAGCGCTGTGTGTAGCGATTTGAGGTTCGAAGGAGAGAGGAATCTTCGCAACATGATTAGGTTATTGATCTGAGGAAATGGTGGTTTGAGGTAGCGTCCTTCTCGTTTTCTCTTGTTTCCTTTGAACTGCACAGATACTCGCTCACTAAGTATGCATATGAATAGCACTACCAAGCGGGCCAATAGGCCACATTAAAAAATATATATAAAAATATGGCAAATTTGCCCCCATTTATTTGGGTTATGGCTTAAACAGATTTAAGTGACTTTAATTCGTGTTTTATAAAATAATAATTATTTTTAAAATAAAATAAAATAATTTTATTTTATTAAAATATATATAAAAAATAAAATAAATTGATAATATATTTTATATTATATATAATTTAAAAAAAAAATAAACGTCAAATGGAATCCTTGTTATAAATAATATATTTTATGAAAATAAAAATTATTTTATTAGACTCTCGATTAATTTATTTATTCAATTATATATGTTTATTATTCAAAACTCGTTTTTTTTTCTCATAATTTTTATTTTTTTTTATTTATTTGTTTCTTATTTTTATATTTTAGATCTCCCGTGTCTTATTCTTTTTCTCTCTTGTCTCATAGATTAGCTCGTCAGCCTACTATAAATATAACGGGATGGGTGGGAGGTTTTAGCCCACCAACTCATTCTAACCTGTCCAGCACAAGTCTACCAACTTGTTAGACCAATCTGCAATACGAGGTAGGGTAACTTACAATCCATTTTATTAATAAAAATATTATTATAATACAGTTAGTAATAAAATATAAAGTAAAGATTTGTAAAAAAAAATTAAAAAAAATTCACTCCCACTCACTATAGAAAACATTCTCCTTCAACAAACACAAACTTTTGTGTTATGGTTGTTCATTATCTTCTCCTTGTTCATCGTAAGTATTGATTATTCTTATACTTATGATTTGAATTAAATGTGCAAGAATTACTTAATGGAAGAACAATATGAAGTTTTATTAAATAAAAAAAATATAAGTATTTAAATTTTTTTATGTAAAAATTATAATTTATTTTTATTTATAATTTTAAATTATAATTTCTTAAAATAATATATTAATTTAATAATTTTATTATTAAATTTATTAGAAATTTTAATTTAAAAAAAATTTTAATTATGTCTGGACGGATTAGCAGTCCATCATTATTATACAGCTCGTCCCACCCCATTTACTATTGGTCAAAAGTGGAGCATACCAGTCCATTTTACTATCTTACTCTCCCTTCTAATATTTTAATTAAAATTTAATAAAATTATTTAATATAATATTTTTTTCAATTAATATTAAAATTAAAAACATCAACTCTTATAATAAATTGCATTATTATGATTAAATTAGACTTTTTTTATAATTAAATTAATATTCAATATTTTATAATCTTTATATTATATAAATTTTAATTATTTCATATTATTTATTTATTATTATCAATTATAAAAAAATACATTTTATAATTTTATATGATAATATTTTGTGATTTTATTTATTTAAATAAATTATGAATTAATTTTGAATAAATAAATAAATAAAATATTATTTTTTAAAATAAAATTTAAAAAATTATATAAAAAAATATTTTTTTAATTAAATAAAAAATAATTTATTAACTGTTGATCTAAGATAGAATATAGAGTTAGAAAACAAAAATTTTAATCAATAATTTTTTGTTATTTAATCTGTAGGATGAGATTGGAGTGGACTGAATCAATCACCTGTAATTTATATGAATTTAGATTTAAACAGTTTACAAAATTCAAGAATCCATTTATTTTATAAAATAATAATTATTTTTTACATAAAAATAATATAAAAAATTATTTAATCATATTTAATTCAAAATTTATTAATTAAAATTAATTATTATTTAATATTGATAAATTATTAAAAATAAATAATAAGAATAATTTTTATTTTGAAAAACATATTTTAGTGACTATTTTTTTAAAGACTATTTTTTTAGTTTTGAAATTTTATTGACAATAAAAATATTATACACTTAAAAAAGAAAACTAACGTCTCCCGTTACATTCACCTGTGATCATATTTTTCATCTAAAAATCATTTACCGTGCAAATAAAAGCATATTTTAGAGACTTTTTTTATTTTGAAATTTCAGTGACAATAAAAATATTATACACCTTATAGTTTTTTTTATCTTTCTTTCTTTTTCATCTTCGTCACCACCAACCCAAATTAACTATTTTTATTTTACAATAACTCCAACTTTTCATGTTTTATCTATCTTATCTAACTACATCACTTCAATAAATTTAATTTTTATGTCATGCCAAACAAATTATTCAAAATTTCCCCAATAAACAATACATCACCTCTACCAATATTTAAAAAAATAGGTTAAAATAATATTGTATTGATTCATCTAGAAACTTAATAATTAATGAGTTAAACTTATGTTCAAAATACATATTAAAAATTAGAATGTGACATGTAATAGATATAATGAAGATAGTTGTATGAGTATGATATAGGTGGTAATATGACATTAAAGGAAAGAACTTTCTCTCATCAGTGGATTTGATTTGATGGAAAAATAGATACAGGAATACGAGCCTTGGTAAACTCACTCACTCAACAACGCTCACCCTTCTATTATTACGAGAATCCTGTGGTATATATGCTCAACTACAACAATCAAGCACATGTGTTTTGATTGTATTAGGTGTGGAATCTCATCATCAAGCATGTGTGGGATAACGAACACCAAGCAATTTTACATCATCTATGACGGGTCCACATAGAGAACCAGAGTTATCACTCTTCATGGTGTAAAAGGTGCTTAGGAACCTTAGACGTGTACGTGTTGACACAGCCTTGAACCGAAGTTTGCCTCTGACAAAACCTCCTTTACCCTTGGATTGATATGGAACTTGGACAGTGTCTGTGCCAGCGAATGCTTCTACCATCATGGAACCTTCACATGCATTGTTGGCATCACCCACAGCGAAAGTGAGGTCATAAACCTTACCAATTGTAGTGATCACAACCTGTGCAAGGGCACTCTCTTTCCCTGCAACAAGTTCAATAGCTCTTTTTCCCTCAGGCACAGCAAAGTGATCAGAATCAATGTACTTCACAGCCTTAAGAGACTCAACTATCCATCCTGGCAAAGGGCTATGAGCATCCTCAATATGGGGTGGGATCAAAGCCCCCCAAGACGAGTTAGGGAACACATATGGCCCTTCTTCGAAATTTCCATTTTTCAGCAAATTGGCTGCACCACATTGAATACCCAGTTTTAGAACTTGTTGTATAATGCAAATGCACATATATCATGAAGAGTTTCTGGTGTAAACCAATTGAATTTCTGATACTATTTAAAAGTAATAAATTTGACTGTCAATTTGGTAGTGACTAATGCCAAATAAAGTTAGGACTATGCATGCTGCCAAGGTTAGGAGTACTGATATTTACCTCTGGTTCTTTTAGGTGGGTACAAAACCTTGAGGGCAACGGAATCAATGAGTGGACCACAAGCAGGGTCCTCTTCTTTGCCAGGGTTATGGATGACAATTTCACCTTCTGGGAAATCTGCTCTGAACCCACAAGTAAAAGACTCCCAACCATTACTACCATACATAGTCTGAATGGGGATAATGCCCCAGTCCCTCTTCTCGGTGGTTGGTACCACTGACACGTTGAGCTTCTCCTCTTGTGCACAGGTTCTAGCGGCACTGAAAGTGATGGAGTAGAAAAACCCCTTAATCAGCTTCATCTTCTGCTTAATGGAAGCTTCATTGCCAAGTCTAACTGCATAGTCTCCCTCAGGCACAACCAACAACATGTCACCCTGTTTTTGTCCTGATTTTATGTATTCAACTAACCCCGAAGTTGTCCAATTAGGAATGGCATCGTGCGCAGTCACTACGGACCCTTTCAACTGCGATGGCTTTGGGCCCTGCTCGAAGTTCCCATTTGGCAACAACCCTGAAATTTACAAACACTTGGTGTGTCACTGTAAAAACAAATGAAGCAAACTTTTTTTTTTCAAAACAACTTTTTGTCAAGTTCCATGTGACAAGAAACCAGTGCAGGCTGTAAGCACATGAAAATATGAGTGAGCCATGTGAAAAGATTTCCAGGCTTTCGTAGATCCTTACCATTTGTCGGTTTATTTCTTCACCACAAAACAAAATTGTCGATATATTCTTTAATGGATCTTTATCGCCACATCAATTATATATATATATATATATATATATATATATATATATATATATATATATATATATATATATATATATATATCTTAATTATCTCACTAAGATCCTGTAAAGAAAGATGCCTAAAATTGATGATACATTTGTGAATCTGTTTAAGATTTTTTTCCTTATTCAAAGAAACATACATAAAATTAAGGGTATTGATATTTGGGCACCACTTCGAACATCCAATTAAGAACCTATTTTATTAATAAAAATAAAAATAGTTATTGTTTAGATGTTTGTATGATAAGGATTGCCAATTTATATTTTTGTAAAATTAATGATACATTTGTGGATCCCATGTAAGAATTTTTCCTTATACAAAATTTTAATGCAAAAAGGTGAGAAACTATTTTATAACGATAAAAATATTCATTGTAAAAAAATCTATCAAATTACAAATATAAATTTATTGAATATATTTTTCTAGTAATTAAAAATTATTTCTATAGGTTAACAAAATCCATAAGTTAAATAAGTGTGACATGAACTAAATATTTATACTTTTTCTTTTCTAATTTCTGAATATTCAAACCACAAAATTGACAATTTATGACTGTGACGTGCCAGATTAGATCTACGAATAAGGGACTGTTAAAGAAAAAAATTATCTAAATTATTGAAAAGTGTAATGGAACTAATACTTTGTTAACTAGCTACAAGAAATTGTTTTAGAATGACCAAAAGGCCCCTTCAGAAGAATAAAAATTTGAAGGTTAATTCTGCATGTAATAATATAATAACTGAGGGCCTTAAGATCTCACGAATGGGATGTCGCCGATTCATTCATTCACACTAAGCTAAGCAAAAACTTTAGCATTTCAAAATCCTAGTGTATTGAGAATGAACAGTGGTGAAATATTGTAATCGCGATATAGTAGTGTAAAGAAAGTTCTGCATTATAGTAGTGTGATTAAGTGCATAACTCTTGCTTACAGATAAATGAAGTAAAAGAAGTGAAAGCGAATTCTAAAGCTTTTATGGCAGTGATCATAGGAGGATATGAAGATAAAAGTTGCGTTGAATGGTTGGATCTTATACTACAGTACTTGCTGATACGATGCATGGTGTGTAGTTGTAAGTTCCAAGGATTAATGAAAGAATGAATGAAAAGAATTAAAGTGATTGAAAGAAAAGCGTTGGAGATATAAAAACTAACCATCAGTGAAGGAGAAAACAGCATGACAGGTTGAAATTGAGAGGAGTAAGAGTAGTTGCAGTTTGAGGTTCTGCATTTTCATGAATTATCAGAAAACAGAGAGAGAGAGAGAGAGGGGTTTGAGGTTGAGATCCGAGAGGGAGCACTCGGTTATATTCGAATCATTACATGAAAAAGCCACTGGTTTGAGATGGAACTACATGAATGCCACTGGAACTATCCTTGTTAAGATTTTCGTTTTTCCCAGAACAGATAGCTTTGTCTTGAAGAACATGTCAATATGACAATATTGCCAAACAAATCTCACACGTGTCAAGGGTTAAAAAGTAGGTTGAAACCTGATTTCATGCAATTTTTTTTATTACTATGGTTATATAATTTGTTGAAGAAAATAGTTTAAATGAGCCAGCAACATTTCCACATTGGAAAGAAAGGAATAATATTATGGAGGCAACACGTGTCATTTAGAAAGACATGGTTTTTCTCTTGCAAGGAATTGTTAAAGAAGTACAATATTTATTGATTGAGTTTTAGGCGGAAGGTGAGACAAAGCAATTAAAACCCACGTGCTCCTTCAATCCAGAACATATATTGTCGGTGACTACAAATCATTAGCTATTTTAATACTATTATAATCATTTTATTTCAATTTTTTTCCTAATGCCAAGTCTAAATATTTATTCATTTTATTCATCCTTATCTTTTCTGATACACACCACCTTCAACAGTTTGAGCACAAAATTATAATAAAATGACCATTTTATTCTGTTGTACCATCGCCCCAATACACATGGCTTTGAATTTGATAATGTTTTTGCGTCGATCTTGTTCGTTCTGGGAAGGTGGGTTGGGTCTAAGATCTGTGGATATAAAGACAACATCGCCCCTCAATTATTTGCAATTCATCTCTTATAGTCATCGAGAGAAGAGTGTATTCTGTTTTTAAGTGATGTAATATTAGATTTCTACTTAAAATCAGATGATAAAAAAGATAATTTTTTGTTATGTTTATATGCATTACGTGAATCCAATCCAAAAGTTGTGAACGTGAAATGAAATGGGAAAGGAGGCAAGCCATGTGAGTGTAACATTTTTTAATTTGAATCTGCCCTTCATCTTCCCTACATATTTCTCCCCACTCTTTATTTTGTTGTTTCTTCTTTCAGTGGTAATAACTCCATAGTTTTTGTTACATGAGTGAATTGAATATGAAGATGGTGAGAGAGTGATTAAGGAGATTAGGGTTGGAGAATAATTGCTTGTATGTACAAATGATAGGCAACACTGAACATGGTGGCATGTGTTTTAATTTATGCAGTTTAGAGCACCCTGTCCATTGCATCTATCGGATTTGGAGTGAATAATAGTCACAACTTCACGTGGTTTAGAGTCCAACGTTCTTTTAAAAAAGAATTTTTAACTGTGTATTAATAATAAAAAATATTATTTAACATGATATTATATTTTAATGATACTACTTATTTTAAATGTAAAAAAAATATTATTTGTATTTATATTAATAGGACCAGTTTGTTTAAACTCAAAATGAGTAAAATTATATTGTGATGTTTTGCGGTGACAGAAGTTCAGAGAACAATCACACGAGGGAGAAACGTAAGTAAAGGAAAAACACTAAAATTTAGATGCTGAAGTAGAGTTCTCGTTAGTAACACTTAATAGGTGTATCCTGTAAATTTCTAGATTCTAAAGCTTCATCTTGATCTATATATATTGATATCACCTTCTCATTTTCTTCTACAATAGACGTCATGAATTTCATATTGTACATTTGCATTTAATATCGAATTCACCACTTTTCATCCCTAACAATCTGTGCCTGGGGATCCATTTTTATCAGGGTACACCTGAAAATCCTCAGCATTCAAACGATCACTATAACATTCCCGTGAGAGAAAGAACAAAAAATACTGAACTAGAAGTTGAATTCAAATGAGTAACAGTGGAATGGTTGTTACCTGGTGATTTCTTTCCTCGGTAAAGCTGATAGTTCTGACCTTCAACTCCCCTCTATTTGTAGTTAACTCATCTAATATTTCAGCATTATCTATTTCCATTGATCCAACTCTGGGTGATTCTACTTCCTGTTAAAGTAAACAAGCTCTTTCGAATCCAACATCGGAGTGTAATGTAAAAGAGATTAAGACGAAATGGTGATAGTGTAAGTATGGCATCATACCCTTAAAGAATTATTGAAAGTTAGTCCTGGAGCAGCAACTATTTCTTCATATTCAGCTGCATCTAGTTCCCTAAGATGGTGAGGTTTGAACAGCTTGGGGAGTATATGCTGCCTCAATGTGATCAGCAAAAAGAAAGGCAAGGGGAACAGTATTCCAGCTATGGGAATCCATGTCACTCCAAAACAAACCAAGAAATACACACATTGGAAGAGTGTGAAGAATATTATGTATCTGTAAGGTACTGACTCAACAAAGGATGCATGATCCGCCTCCAACAACCTGTCAACATTATGCATAGGTTGGTGTTAATGGAGAGTGGAAGTTTCATGCTTTAGTGAAAATGGTGAAAGAATAGTAACTTTTACTTACTTGTGCCACCTACTAGGTGTTACAAAAAGGAGTAGGATCCTTTCCCAGAATTGATTTCCTGGAAGACTATCAATGGCCATGTAAGCAAAATATCCCCAGAGAACAGAAGTTGGTATCTTTTTTATGGCAGGCATAGCAAAGACTGATGCTCCTACAAGGATTGATTGTAAAAGATTGCTCACTCTCTGCTCCTTTACTCTGACAGGCAAATATGCATCAATGTGTTTCTCAAGATCGAAGGTACTCTTGTTGTCAACTCCTTTGTCTTCACCGTTCAAGACAACCTCTTTCAAATCCTCTAGTTCTTTGACCACTGAATGATTCTGCAAGCAATCAAATTCAGGACCAAAAGAAAACTTAGTTGAGTTAATTGGACAGGGCAAAGAGGATTAAGGGCTTATATGCTTACATCTGGACAGTTATCCATTTCTATAAACACTGCTTGCATCTTTCCATAGATTTCAGACTTGCTAGCTTTCTGACTTATGCTTTCCTTGGCACTTTGAACCATCTTTCTTCGGATCAACTGCCATTAGAAAAGAAAATCACAATATCAAACATCCAATTCAATCATGATAGTTACTACAAATACCAATACTCATTTATCCTATCCACCTGTTTCTTGAGAACAGACAGGCTCTTGGTGTGCATAGGAGATTGAGGTAGAACTCCATTTGAAGGGGGTAAGCCAATTAATCCACAAATCAAAGTCTGAAATTTTTTATTCAAAGCAAATCATCAATTCCACTCGGATTAATAGTGTAAATGACAATCAAACAACTAAGTACAAAACAGAGATATACCGTTAGTCCTAGCAACAGTAAGTCATAGTGGTATGCAGAAGGTTTCTTGAGATTGAATTCCTTTTGTTGAGCCAACTGGGAAGCAACAGAATGATCAAAGAAGTAAAGCCCCGCTATCATTAAGGCTGGAATGAAAGCAGCAAAAATGTACGTCGGAGAAACGTTCCCCATATCCTGCAGCAAATGCTATATAAGTAATCTCCAAAACTACTAAAGTAAGAAGTAGTATGGTGTGACTATATGCAATATTATGGATTACTTTGATTACTGTCCAGTGATGTAAAGATGTAGACTCCCAAGCAAGAGGAGAATTGAGCCTTCTGGGAACTCCTGAAGGCACTTTACTTGGTACTACGAATGATAGTGCTGTCCACACCACCACCATGAAAGGCACCCCATAGTCTGCAACGAAACTTCTAAACCAACCTGTTCAACAAACAAACTACATCAGATTCCCCACTCCAATCATGCTGTGGCTCAAATCACTTGAAATTCACTTAACAAACCTGTGCCGTACAACCATGACCTTGCTCTTCTGCTCTTCAAAGAAGTATAGAGAAGGCCAAAGGTGAATATAATACCCAGCAACCCATTTGCATACAGCCAATCAAAATGGTACTTTTCCGAAGTTGGGTCTCCCTCTTTAGGAACATTAAACTCACTTACAATGCCCTGCACTTGCAAAAGCTTGTATCAAAGTCCTTTGCCCGTATCTTACGTCGAATCATGTTTCCAGGACAGTTGATACCTAGACTACTATATCACAAACTTACCTTTATAGCCTCTTGAATGAACAAGACTGTGATCAACATGCCAAAAAGCTCACCCGCTATCCTTGTAAATCTATTGATGATATTTCCAGCATTGAATATTGCAAGGAGAAACAGCAACAGAGCAGTCCATACACAAACCCTGGGATGTTAATTATATCAATTAGACATTGACTACACAACGAACCTGGGTCATAGAAAAAATGTTTTTCTTACCATCCTGCCCAAGCTAAGAAGAGTTCTCGACCCAAGAAATCGTTATCTTTGGCAAAGTTGTACAAATAGGTGTACATAATGATAGTGGGTTCAGCAACTCCTACAACTAGGAGAGGCTGGCCACCCAAAATTGAATGTATGATTCCACAAATAGCTGTAGAAGCCAGTGTTTCTACTGTGCTCAAGCTTCCATCTGCATACAAACAACAACTTGTTCAATCTCACTGTCAAATTTTTCACTTACAAAGAGTGTGTAGAGTGAGAAAGAGGAACCAATCTCGAAACTTTCATTCGTATATACATTTATTTAACTACCCATTTCTTCCCATGCTCATACATACCTAGTGAATGCGTGAGAGGTGCAAAAAGCTTGTGCTGAATGTACGAAACAGAATTACTTGTAGTGTATAAAGCATTTTAAAAAGTTGTCATTTCAAAATTCTTGTAAAATCCGTAAGATGTACCTTTCTAAAATGCTTCTTAATAAAATTAAGTGTACTTGTAAAAAAACAAAAATGTGAGATTTATTGATGTAGCTTCATCCTATAATAATGATTTGTTTCTGCTACGTCATTACCGTTTATGAGGAAAGAAAGGAACCGATTTAGTAGAAATATTGTATGTATGTTTCAGGTAGTCCGTGAAATGCAACAAGAGTTGAGGGTGGTCCATAATGGTTTTTTTTATTATTCTTCTCTCAATAGATAAGATTTGGACTCAAAATGAATGATTCTTTTTTCTCCTTTTAAAGATTTGGACTAAAAATAAGACTGGTTTTGCTATTTTGTCAAAAACACCTTTTAATTTTTTTTTCAAAATAATACTTACACTTGATTTATAATACAAATGTTATTTTTAATAACTATATAATCAATTATGTTAACTGCATAGTTAATTATTTAACTTCAAATATTAATCGCAATGTCGCAAGTTCATAAATGATTATGGAAGATTATTATTCAGACAAAAACAATGTATAGAGAGCAAGATACCATGATCATTCAACCATCATCTTTTTTCTTTTTCTTTTTGTTTTTTATACATCAATAGCATGCATTTATTATTTTTACATTCATTTTTCCTTTTTTTTTTCAAAAAGTCCAAATAATTTGACGATTTACTCTATTTTTAAAAAAAATTATGCTAAAAACTTTCTTTTAAATAGCAAGTTTACAAATCCGAATGGAAGCATTTAACAAGTTACTCCTATAAACGTACGTGTGTTAAGTTGGCAAAAAAAAATTGTGTACACATATACGGTATAAGACAAAAAGGAGAGAGAAGAAGATAGAAAAATAAACCTGTGTCTCTACTTAGCTGCTCGCCAAAGGCAATCACAGGAAGAGCAGAAGCAAAGAAAATATAGGTAGTAGGGGCCAATATTCTGTCATGAAAGAGTGTTCATCAGAGAGTTCTAATTTGCTTAACGATCTGATATATATATATATATATATATATATATATAAGAAACTTACCCAGCTCCTGAATAGAGACCAGTTTTCCAATCATCTTTATAGTACACTGCTCTTCCTCGAAGGTCGTTTTTAATACCCTTGAAAGGATATTTGAAGCTTTCCATATCTGCATCCACACTCTAATGAGTCATGCCTCATGACAAAATTCTCAAACTTCCAAAAACCTGAAAGTAAAAAACTTAACACGAATATACAATCACATATACACGTCTCAGTTTTCTCCGTATTGGTTTTGGCTTCTTTCACCAACCAATTTGACACGGAACGGAACAGAGCACATGGACCATTAATGGAACAGTCAAAAGAAATGAAAAAAAAAAATTAGAAAGAGACGGAAATGTATATGACTTCACACACACGTTCAATTTAAGGTTTGTCTTCAGTTTCTCGGAAATTCTGTTTGGTGAATAAAGCAGTCATAACCGTAGGAGAAATAAATAAAACAAAAACATGAAATAACGCCACTCGTGATGAAGACAAGAAAGAAACAGTGAAACAAGAACTCAGAATTCCTGCAACACAACAAAGAAAAACTCATCATGTTTACACGTTCATGCAGAACGAACACACAAACCAACGGACAACAACGTTTGAAGAACAAAAGGGTACGATGTCATGCAGATTAAAAAACATGATATATAGTTAACACTTAATGCAGAATTAACGAGAACAAAAAGGAAGAAGAAGAACAAGAAGAAGAGAGACGGTACTGTACGTAGCGGAAATGTTGATGTGGCCACGAGGAGAAGAGCGGTTTTGGTGCTTCTTATTATGCAGAAAAGTATTGAAACGATGAGAGTGCCAAAGTCCACGTCGTTCAAAAAGAGAATCGCAATTGGTCCCCACTGTCACAAATTACTGCTTTACAATTCTGAAATCACTTCACACTCGAAAAGTGCATCAAAATTTATAAACTGAAGTTGAATTTTGGCATCAACAATTAAGAAGTGTTAGGCCCAAGTGCAGAGAGAAGGCTAGTTTCTCCAACCCTTGCCACTGACCTAGGGTTAAACTTTTGTTGGGAGATGTGTTCACTTTAATGTCTGACTTGTTTCTTTTGAAAAGTATGCAGTAATTTACGTGTCTAACTAAACTGAACGAGAAATTAATGATTTTTTTTTCTTAATGCTTTGTGTGTGAACAATTGGTTCACTCTTCTAGGGTTCTTGTTCTATCCAAGCCCACAACCACTTCAAAAAAAAAATCCTCACTCTTAATTTTGTTTATTTCAAATTACATTACATCAACAATTTTCAAAATCTTAAAATGGAATGTATTCAAAGTATTAAAAAGTAAATTGCTATTTAGTCATAAATTATCATTTATGAAAAAATTTATTAACTTTTTCACAATTGATTTAAATGTTATATTTTTTATGATCTTTTATTGAGTGATAGTAAAACAATTATGTCGATAATATAAAAAATAATAATTTTAAGTTTATTAAAAAAATTAAATTGTATAATTATAAAATAATAATTCATGAATATATTTTAAAATTTGTGCTTTGTTAAGGAAACATTTAAAGGTATATAAACGTGTACAACTAATGACGTATAGAGACAACCACGTATTTAATCCGTGTGCACATAGACAAACACATGTCCATACTACACATAATACATTAAAGACATATTAATAACACCTATTAAATATTATTTATAACTATTTATAATTATAGTTTTTAATTTTCTTATGTAAAATTCTGTTTAAGAAATATTTGAACCATTTTTTATTTATTTTTCACTCACTTTAATAAAACAATTATAGGATATGTAAATTTATTTTTTAAATCATTGTCATTGTGTTTTTATTTCTTGTAATTTCATAAAGATTTATTTTAAAATATTAAAGAGGTACGAAATAAATAAATACAAGGACGTAAAATAAAATAAAACATTACAAAATGACAAAGAGGACAAAAAATTGCATATACTAAACAAATTAACATGTTTGCGAGTTATTAAGTCTTCAATATTTTTAATTCAAAAATCATATCAAATAAAAATTCAAATGAAAGATTGTAATATAATAATCTCAAATTTCTCAATTTTTCTGTACTTTTTTCTCCTTAAACACTGCAATATTATATTTAAACTTTTAAAAATATTTTGTAAGTTGGAACTTCAGTGGTGTTTTACAATTTAAGTAAAAATACACACTTTTAAAAATATAAGCGTATTAATTAATGCATATTAAAGTTTCATTTGACTGTTCCAAATAAATTTTATTAAATTATTCTCTTTCCTTCTTTTGTGAATTAAAAAAAAAGAAAAACATTTCTTATAAATATATTTTATTTATAAAATTCAAAATTATATTAAGTATATGTTATTTTTTAATAAAAAATAACACTATAAAATTTATCTCAAAAAAAATAATTAAAATTATTTAAAAATAAAATTAAATATTTTATTATGAATTCGACGATTACTTAAAATATGATACGTTACTATAAAATGATTTTTGTGTCTTAGTTCATCATAGTTTACTTTGGAGAAAAAAATTCTATTAATTTCTCATTTTTCAAATTTACGAAGAATTCATTTAACCTCTTCATTATCATTAAACCAAATTCAACTTCAACTAAATTCATATATTTAACCCCAAATAAGGAAAAAAAAGTAGAAATAGAAAAAGGTAACTGGTTTGGTGTGCCAAACCTAAAAATGTAGAGTAGGTCCAGGGTTGGTTGGTACTGCATAACAGCACAGAGAATGCACGTAACTTTGTTTCCCATGTTCTTGGCATCTTCCTTTAGCATAACAACTTATTTGGGCCAAATTTGGAATACTCAACCTAATCGAATTCACCTCTATCTTCCATTAATCATCTATTTCTATGGGTTAATCTCACACTATACTTAATCATATCTATTTTTTATTTCTGTTATGTATTTTTTTAATATTTAATTTCAGTTTTGTAACATAAAAATTATAATATTTTTATTTAGTTTGAAATATTAGAAATTAAGAAATAAAGTTAATATTCTCGCATATTTTATTGTAACAAAAAAATAAAATACACATTTAAAAAAAACTATTCACTGTAATAACATTTTAATATTGTATTATTTTTTATTAATTAGTTAATTATTTTAATATTTCATGATTTTTTTAAGTTAAAATATAAAAAAAATCAGATTAAACTTTAGAAATATAAAAAAATAATTATATATTTTTTTAAAATATAATAAATAATAAAATAAATTCTAATTAAAATTCAATGTTGAAATTATTATTAAAGAAATTTATATTTGATAATTAATAATTTTTATAATATAAAATATTATCTTATTTTATATTAGTAATTTCGAATTTTTGTAATTTTATATTATAGTTAATTTTAATGTAAACCTTCAATTTAAAATTTCTTGTATGAATTTTTAGAATATATTAAATTTCTTATATTAGGAATAACATTTATATCATTAAAATATACATAAATTAAAATATATTTTAACAATATTAAGTGGATATAAATATAAAGTTTTAAGATTTTAACTTATCATAATTGAGTGGTTGATTTATTCATCCATTTCTGTTTAAAAATATCCAAATTAAAGATGTACGTTAACGTCACCATACCCATTCTTTTACATCACATGATGTCTGTTATAAAATCATTACTATTATTTAAAAAATTATTTTAATAGAAATAAAAAAAATATTTAAAATATGATTTTACTATTTCCTATTATTTAAAATATTTGTAGGATTAAATTAAGATCAATAAATATAATAAATAGAAATGCAATGTTTGTTAGTGGTAACATATTCACAGTTTCACATGGTGGGATATGATTGTACCTCCATCTAACGAGTAAACAAAAAAAATATTTGTTTTGAATGAATGGAAAATTAGGGTTATGTGACCTACTTTATGGCATCACTGTGTGGTTTGGCAAATAACGCAACGTCGTTTTAACTCTCACTTTCAATTTCCCATTCAACCCAATTTGCATGCCTCTTTTTACTTGTTTAGGGTTTAAATTATTTTTTCTCAATTTTAATTTTCATCCATTATAAAAAAAAAAATGAAAGTTTTCGTTTTCCTGTTTTTTTTTTTCATGTAGTTTTAGTTTATACATTTTTTCATCCATTAAAATTAACTCAACGTTAATTATACATTTTTCATTAATTTATTTTAATCTAATTGAATAAAAGCTTTTTTTTTTCATGACATTTTCATGATTTGAATAGTCAAGTCATCGTTACTTGCTCACCCACAGTTGGTGTAACAAATATTTCTCTAAGATGTCACTAAAAATAATTTTATTAAATTAAAATATTGAAATAAAAATAAGATTAAAATTATATTTTGTTTATTCAAATATATTTTTAGTCCATAAAATATAGTAAATTTTGATTTTCTTTTCATAATTTATTGTTTTGTATTTTTATTAAATTTGAAATAATATTTTCTTAGCACTTAAAATAAATTTTGAACTCAATTTTATGTTTTGTTTGAATTAAAAAGTGAATTTGAAAGAGTGTAAAATGTGGAAAAAAAATTGAAAAGAGGAGTTATTTAGATTAAAAGAAATAAAATAAAAATGAATGATAAAATAAAATAAATTTATTTATTATTTTAATATAATTTGTTTGATTATTTATTATTATAATAATTTAAAAACAAAAATTAAATAAAAAAATTAAACATAATTTATGAAAATAAATACATATAATATTTAATTAAATAATCGATTTAAAATCATAATGGATGTTTGAAAATTTTAATTTTTTTCTTTTTTTTATATGAGAGAGAAGAATATATATATATATATATATATATATATATATATATATATGTATTTTACAATTTTATTCATAAAAATATATAAAATTTATATATTTCTACGTCATCTTTCCGATTCTTGAAACATTAGTTTCCATAAAACATTTTTCTTTAAATTATAATGTTTAATTTTTAATATTAAGTTTTGACTGGTGAATATATTTATTTTATAGATCTTCATTTTTGTTTAGTTGACACATTAATTCCTTATCGAGTAAGGGAAATAATACATATAAAAAGTGAAAAAAAAATAGTAAAAGTAAAAATTACATTACGAATTTATAAATTTTTTATTTAAAAATTTAATTATTTTTAACCGTGTAGTATTTTCCTTATCATTTTATTGATCACTTTTAAAATATTTTTCTCCTATTATTTAATATTTTAGAATATAAAAATCATTAATTATTTTTTCAATAATATATACACTAAATAAATGTATAATTGTAACGGTATAGTAACTACTAATTTACAAAATAAATACATTTTAGTTCAATTTTTTTAGGATGATAAATATAATTGATTACGATTAAGTTCTATTATGCATTAACTTAGTTTCGTGCATTTATATGAAAAATGTAAAATAAAAGTGACTATAGAGAAATGCATGAAAAGTAATAAGAGAAAAATAAGAAAAATGAAAAAAAATTTATCATTTTTTAGTATAACGAATATATTTACTTTCTAAGTAAAAAAATTAAAATTATTTATATAAATAATATTATAATTATACAGATATTAAATTTAAATTAAATCATTTATTTTCTTTATTTCCTTATATTTTTTCTTTTATTATTTTTAATTCTATTTTATCTCTCTCTTTTTTCTCTTTTTTCATATTTTATTTCCCTATTTCCCAATGCAACCTTAAAAACAAAATTTCAAGTATAGTTCCTAATTTATTTAAATTATATTTACATTCAAACTTTTTTTTTTCAGTTTACACAAATATCCTTTTATAAACAATATTAATAAAAAAACAGAATATATATAATATGTGACTATTTGTTTTCTTTTCCTGTGGCAAGTTAGGTTTAATATTATGTATTCAATTATATGTCTAAGAACAATATTATAAATTTATTTTATTTATATTTAACGATGGAATTTATTATGATGTAGAAAAAAAGAAAGATAAAATAGATATTTCTATAAAAGTTTTATTAAAGTCAACAAATCTATCATATTTATTGATTTCTCCTAGAGAATCTTAAACTACTCTTTAAAGTGTTGTTTAAAAATAATTAAAGAGTATTCACTTCCAAAATAAATAAATGTCACAATCTCACGAACTTTAATCAATAATTAGTAAATATTAGTTGTTTTATTCATTTTTTTTTGTTCAGTCAGTTTTTTCAATAACTATAAATTTTTAGATTATCATTGTTTTCTACAGTTTCGGTGATTATGATCAAAATATAATTTAAACCTTAAAAACTTGTTAAAAATTAATCTTTTATAGTTTTATAAATCATTGTAAATAACTAATTACATATAATATTTTTGTATTGCTTGTATGTATTTTTAAAAAAATATGAATTATATTTTTTTTTATGAACCTGTGGTTAAAAGTAAAACATATAATGCTGATTATATAAATGAAATTATTTATTACACAATAATAAGAAATTTAATTTTATAAACCATGACTCTGTCTGAAATTTTGTAGGATTTAGGCAATTCTATACGTAACACTTTTGGATATAATATACTAATTTTTATTTTATTTTTAACATTTTGAATATATAACTATTAATTAGAATTTAATATTTAAATAATTTCAATACTCTCTCAATTATAATTAAATAATTTGAATGAGTAAAAATATATTTTACATGTATACCAAAATTCAAAATTAAGATGATTACTTTTTATAAGAATCAAAAGAATAAATTATAATTAATGATCATGTTATTATCATTTTCATAAAAATATTTTTTTTAAGAAACTTACATTTTTATGAAATTTAATCTTATTGTATTCATTTCAATGCTGGTCTATTAATAAATTACACATTTAAAATTTATATTTATTTATTTATTCTAAAAATAGGTAAAAAAAAAAACAAAAAAACAGATACCTAAAACGAAAATTTTAGTTTCTCTTGGCGGCACGACATTGTTTATAAGATGCTTATTTGTAGAAGTTATTTAAATTTTGTCAACCTTATTTATCAAAAATATTAATTTACTGTACTTTAAATGCATTACTGATCTCTCAATCACTAATTTAATGCCATTTTATATTTTTCTTTTAGTCTAAAGTCAATAGTTATTTAATTATCTTATCCATAGTGTAAAAGCAATTTATTCACCAAATATCATGTACATATGACTTGAAATGATAGTGATTTGTTCACTTTAAAATTATATAAATAGAGATTAAATAATTTATATTATTCATAAGGATTTTTGTTTTCCCGAAATTCTACCTAAAATAGAAAATAGAGGGAAATATAAAAAATGTCTTTGGTAATAAAATTATTTAATTTTGTATGTGTTGGTAGATGGCATAGACATGGAACAGTTTTGAATGGCTGTGAAATGTGTTTATATAAAAAATAAAACTTACGATGTTTTGATTTCTCCAAAAGGATTGGAACTTGTTTACCACTCAACACATGTGTTTGTCACTTTTCCACAGTTCAAATAAAAATTCGACCACACGTGCCTTTGACTAATTGGAAAATAGTGTTTTGGAAAAGATTTCCAGGAATAGGATTAGATGAAACATTGGACGACCTCTTGGTTGTGTGATGAAGATGGTTGTGAGAATTTGTGTCGTGGAGGAACCAACATCAACCCTCAAATTCATCACATCATCAAATAATGTTAACGGAGGGTCTTGTTGGCTGTGTTGTGTTCTGCAACTTGCTGACAAGAAATTGTGACAGAAGATTCTCTTTTATGTAATAATCACCCCATCAAATGGATGATTGAGAGATGTTTGTTGGGATGAAAAACAATTTGTGGGTTCTTAATTTTCTTCCATCTCAAAAATTGTACCATCATAATAATAATAATAGTTAATGTCCAAGTATGTTTTCTAGAAAAAAAAAAAACAAAAAAATTTATATTATTTATTAAAAAATGTGGTTAATACATTTTACTTCAATTTTTAATGTATTTTACTTTCAGTATGGGTTTTTTATAAAAAAAAAGATAACTAATAATTCTTTAACAAGTTTCTACAGACCCATAACGAAAACAGAGACATGGGTGTTATTATTTGCACCTCCTTTTTCTTTTCTTCAAATATTTTTTTATTTATTTTTACTAATGTCCTTTACGAAGATTAATTTCCATATGTTTCTATATATGAGTTATACAATGAAAACTAGTTTCAGTGAGATGAATGTTCGTAAAATTCTAAATTAGATAACTCAGAATATGTAAGCCTTCATTCCTGATCATATTTTTCTGCAAATTCCAAATTAGATGATCCAAAGCAAAAGAAATTATAATCTGGATTAAGCTTAGTGATATTAGGTGGAAGAAGAAAAAGCCCATACTGTAATAGGCAGGCCCGTTTAGGCGTGGTTTATTGAGGGCCCAAATAAGCAGCAATGTGAAATGTAAATTGCATCTTAGGAATAGGGGAAGGAGCAGACGCGGCTGCATCAGTATTCAGCGTTCAGCATTCAGCGTTCAGAAGTTCAAAGGTGAGAGTGAAGAGGTTGTTAAAGTAACTACGAGCAAGGTAAAGCCCTTTCACTCAATTTCCTTTCATCTACACAAAACCAAGAAATTTTATAGATTATTGTTTTTTGGTCTCTATCCCCTCCTAATCTTTTCATTCAACAATTGATATTAGTTGTAAAGAAAATGTGAAGAAACAAACCAAAATTCGACAATTTCTATTGCACGAAAAGATCAAATTTTACATGTTTTGGAAAAGAGAATTCAGGTTAAGATAATAGGAATATATTTGAGCATAAATAGCAATATAAAATACTATATTAGAGGTGAAAATATCAATGCCTATTTACATCTCTTCCATTCTCCTTCGCTCCTTCTTGTTACCAAAAAGAATAACAAGAAAGCGATGATTGAAAGGAAAATTTCTACAGTTGTATTACATATACAACATGTATTTACAGCAAGTAGTTAGAAATACAATGTGTTGAGTAAGCGCAAAACTTGAGACCAGTTGAAACATTGGAGTGGATGCCACAGAGAAGTGGAGAAGATGCATCCACCCTACCTTCAATTTTCCTTGTATCTGCGGAAACATGACCGCAGATAACAAAAGGTTGGAAAAACAAAATTCTTTTGAGTACGATTTGACAGTGATTAGTCATAAAATCTTCTGTCCATTTTAAGCTTGCTCTTCACATCTTGTATCTCCTTCATTTGTCGCTGCAAGGCAATCAAATTATGTTAGACCAACAACACGCCTATGCATAAGATTGTAAGTGGATGCATTGGCAACACGCAAGAAATAATTCTTCGCAATGCTCCACCTCATATAGTGCATTCCAGCATGCATTGAACTTCGCATACTGCAGTATCCATTCAATAGCCATCTGGTACTCTATTGTATTGGGCTGAGAACAATGCGATGTTGATACTGCATTTCTCTGTAAAAACACGAAACACGCAATTTAAATCATATTTGCAAATATGTGAGATTGGGTGAGTTAGTGTACCATCTCCTGGTGTTGCCTTTGAAGCGCAGTTTTGTCAATGACCAAATGGCCAGTGAACTTTCTCTTCTTGTCAGGCTCACAGAGAGTTCCCTTCGCGGCACTGACAATCCTGTAGAAAATTTATGACAAAGGGCTTTTTGCTTAAAAGTAACACAACTATGCATTGCAATTTTAGCAATAGATGCGGAATATGACTTCGAAGTAAAAATGGGAAAAGATGTTATATATATAACTTAAGAGTAATCATTATATACATTGCAATTTAATGGTCTATAATAATTATTCATCTTAATCATTATATAAGAGTAAGTATCTGACTGTTGGGGTAAGTGAGCCCCGCCCGCCCCCCCATCTCTATATATATATATATATATATCATGAAAAGTCTAAAAAGCTATGGAAAATCGAAGTCGTCCAATAAGATATACTTTTCCATCCATTGGAATAACACCAAGTTCTTTAACAGAACAAATTATCACTGAAATGATGCATAAAGTTAGAAGAGAAATTCAACACGAAAAACAAAACAACAGATGCAATACCTCCCTTCTCCAAGACTAAGGCATCTTTTGTTTAATTCAGATATTGCAGATTCAGCTTCACCTTTTGTTTTAAAAATAACAAATGCCCTACCTGTAGGTAGATGAGAGAGCACAATAAATGGAGGATCTAAAAAGTTACAGAACATTAATTACGTCCCACTGAATTGATACATCTCATCATACCAATGAAAGAATCACAAAAAAATTAAAAGGAGACTGTTTGATTATTTTAAAGGTAAATCTGTAAGCACCGTAGTATGTACTGGAACTCGGGCTCCATTCTATCACCCTTGCCTCAACCTTTGCTTTGAGAGCACACCAAACAAGATCCTGAACAAGAATCGAGGAAAAAGAAATTAAGAGTCAAGTCAAGACCACTAGACACAGACCAGATTAATTTAAAATCCAAACCTAAACTTCCTCTTAGGAAAAAGAATAGCTCATCCGACAACCGATTGTCCCATCACATCCATTAAAGTTTTAATTACTTAAAATTGTCAAGCCATGCATAGCACATCCGTACACAACATATACGAACTTTATGTTTAGGACATACTCAGAGAACTTGATGGCAAAGGTGTAAGGAAATTGATAAGTTTTGTCCTTTAAAAAATTTTAACTATGTCCAGGGTATTTCTCAAACTATATCACAGCACATAGATTATATCAGTTTCAACCTTGGTTCCTCTTCAATTGTCACATTGCATACCAATCCTTTACTGTTCTCTGCTGATGTTGAAATTTCATAATGCTGGATCATAATCTTATAGGCTAGTTTTCTTTAAAAGTTCAATGCACGAATAGGATGCAAGTAAAATATAAACAAGCTCTTTCAATAGAAAGTAAAAAAGTAACTAGAGAATTTGAGAGTTGGATTTCATATACCTCTACTTCATATGATGTGTAGGATGGATCAAGATTATTCAGTAAAACCAAGGTATCCAACTCTTGAGCTCTCCGCAGTCTTTCATCCCAAGGCTACAAATGAAATTAACAGGAACCAAGTATGACAATATTATAACAGTACTATACATATATAATCTGGCGTAAGCAAATATAGTTCGATGCAGCAAATAAAAGTAGGAATCTTTACGATAATTAATAAACAGGAAACGTCACTTCATTCATTTTGTTCCATTATAAAATAAACTTTTGAAGCATTTCAAAAATTGAAATGTTTGATGACATTGAAGTGATAATATCAACATATAGTCAGAAACTACAATGGTAACAAGTAATTAAGATATGGGACTTATTTAACAATTTCTTAGTTTCAGGAACTAATGTGACAGCATCTACCACATTTAGGGGCCACAGTGGCTGTTACACCCAAGAAAATCAACGTTTATTACTTGTTAAATCCGAGTAAGATTAGCATTGCTTATTTCAAACTAACCTAGGCAAGTGTCAGTATGCTATTCGAACAGAAAAACAATTTAAAAGTAGCGACATGCAATTGTTATAAAATGACATTTTGATGTGAACGTGACCTATGATAAAAGCTAGAGCAAGGGAAGTAAATGAAGCTCTTCAACAAGTATTGTTGGTTGACCAAATTGTGTTTTGGATTAATCAATTAATGAACTTTAGTTTAGTTTTATTGCAAGTTGTAATAAGGGCCCAATTGGAAATTTAGTTATTAGTCTTTGGGAGACCAAGAGGGTGCACAACTGATTGACTTTTGAATGTCACAATTTCAATTACAATCAATCATTAAGTAGTTTTCAATTCCTAGGTTAATAAATCATTATTAGCATTTATTTTCCTTTAATGAATATTTGTAACTCTGATGACAAAGCTTCTTTATAAGCTGAACCATTTTTATCATAAATAACAAGTTGAGTTTTATTTTTAGAAATATTAGAGTTTATCTCTTTTATTTTAATGAGAGTTATTCTCCTAAGTTCTTGAGTGATTCAAGAATATTTTGCTGTATCAAAGGACTTTCACATTCTTTGTGAGTTGTCTTCCTTGGAAAGAGTGATTCTTTCCTTCCACCTTATCACTAAATTCCTAAATTTCCTACAAGGTTCTAACCTTAAAGATCCTACATCACCCCTTGTGATTCACATCAGCTGGTATCAGAGCCCCGGTTTAAAGGTTTGAACATTAAATTGATGGCAGAGGAGGATAAAAAGAAAATGAGAGAAAACTTTCTTCAAGAAAAGAGAGAAAAAAAAGAAGAAGAGTGAAACACATGAAGTGAAGGAGAGCTATTTAGCCATAAAAAGTGAGTACAATGTTAGTTCTACATTCAATTTGTCAGACTTATCTCTTTTTAATGTAGATGACGAATCCGATTTGAGGACAAATCCTTTTCAAGAGGGAGAGAATGATGTGAACATGACCTATGATAAGGGCTAGAGCAAGGGAAGCAAATGAAGCTCTTCAACAAGTATTGTTGGTTGACCAAATTATGTTTTGGATTAATCAATTAATGGGTTTTAGTTTAGTTTTATTGCAAGTTGTAATAAGGGCCCAATTGGAAATTTAGTTATCAGTCTTTGAGAGACCAAGAGGGTGCATAACTGATTGACTTTTGGATGCCACAATTTCAATTACAATCAATCATTAAGTAGTTTTCAATTCCTAGGTTAATAAATCATTATTAGCATTTATTTTCCTTTAATGAATATTTGTAACTCTGATGGCAAAACTTCTTTTAAGCTGAACCAGTTTTATCAGACATAACAAGTTGAGTTTTATTTTTAGAAATTTAGAGTTTATCTCTTTTATCTTAGTGAGAGTGATTCTCCTAAGTTCTTGAGTGATTAATATTTGGTTGTATCAAAGAACTTTCACATCCTTTGTGAGTTGCCTTCCTTGGAAAGAGTGATTCTTTAATTCCTAAATTTCCTACAAGGTTCTAACCTTAAAGATCCTAAATCACCCATTGTGATTCACATCACATTTAGAAAATGTTTTATCCAGGTTAGAGAAAATTATCACAAGTTGGTTAACCATTCAAATTTGAGAGGATCTTATTTAAGATTGTTCTGAAAAACCAATGGCATAATAGGAGAATGACCTAAACGTGACAAACCAAGAAAAATTATTTATCGATGAGGCAACCACAATAGCCATACTAGCATTTCACATTAAAAACAAATTTCTCTGAGCTAATATATCTGTAATTATTAATTATCAAATTGCCAGATAATTTAAATAAGAAAAATAAAAGACATTTTTAGCAGAGAGCAAATGTTTAATAATTAACTAGATGCTTGCAGATAATTTAGGTCATAGTCATACCTTAAGATTATTTATGTTAGACTGTGTAGAAAGTCATTGTATAAATATACTTTCCAATGGAAAGTGAGTTGTTTTCTCATCAGAATAATACATATAAATGTAAGTAAAGACAAACATATTCTGCTCAAAAGAACTTCAGTACTTTAATCATTTAAAGAGAACAAATCATCAGTAAGCATAAAAAAAATTAATGAAATTAAAAGGAAAAGGAAAACGCTGTAGTTTTAGACGCTAGATTAACAAATCATAGACAAAGCAAACTTGTTTAGATCCCAGAACACAGGTTCGGAAGTTATGAAAAGGTAAATCACCTTCAGCATATTAACACTTTATACTCTCTTTTACACTATTTCTCTATTATCCAAATCTATAAAGCACTAGCATCTCTTCTATTTGAACTGTTTCACTAACCAAAAACTTGCCTCACTTGTGTCAAACACTTCTCATTAAGTGCCCAATTAAAAAAACATATCAGGCTTCAAAACTTGAGACAAAACTTCATTGCAACTCAAACACTTCAGTCGATGCGACCAAATAAACGTACTTTTGAAAAGTAAGCTTAAAATACAGCACAAAACATTAAAAATTAATCCTTTTCACCTCTTTTTGTGTGACTCATTACCATAAATAATGTCTCTTAATATTCTTTTGTGAGACTTATTATCCTAAAAATGGTGATATATATATATATATATATATATATATATACATGGAGAATCCCCTTTTTTATGTAAGAGGGAGAGGAATATGTATTAATCATCAAATCTTACCATAAACGAGCAACATTAAAAAATCTAAGTCATGTGAGTTTTTTTAAAAGTCACATGACATTAAATCTCAAGTTAGGTTGTATGGTCTAGATTTACTTTTCTTACTCCCATATAAAAATGTCCCTCTCACTAGACATGTCCCTTAAATATGTGTTGTCCCAGTGTCCAATATTTCAGACATTAGTGTCAAAGGGTTCATGCCATGTTTGTATTTCATAGGTCCAAATGAGGAGAGCCTATTTCGGAGATTAACCCAAACCTTGAAAATGATCAAAACATAAACCACAAATTACAATAAATATAAAGAAATAAAAAACTAACCATTTTCTTAAACCACCTTCTTTTTCCCTGCAACAATGAAAACGAGGGTTCACAAAGGATTAGAACTATGACTGGAATCATATTTGAAACCGCATCTAAAAGTTACAGATATCCTCTAGTTAAGTATCCAGTGCAAAATTATACATTTTAAGTTCTCCTATCATTGTGTCAAACAATAGATCGGGGGAAAAAAGAGCTTCATATCATATAAATATCATTATGTTGATGAACCTTTGACATTTCTGAAATATTAGTAAGGTTAATTTTCTCAAGACGCCAAAAAATTAGATAAGTTGTAGCTTATCTGATTCGCTCATCTAGGATTAGTAGTTAAAGAACGAACTTGACATACGAATACATGACACCTGACACGGAGTTTTAGAGACTTACTGCATCTGGCCTTTCAATTACATCAATAACTTTTTTGTCTGTTTTGATTCTTTCATCCTGTTTGATTTCTACCTTCTTGTCATCAATTTCCACTTCCTTAGGGGTTTTGCGACTTTGACCAATGTTTAGCTTCTCTTCTACAATCTTCCTCTTTTTATATGGATAAGAATCTGATGATTGCTTTGGCAAAATATTCTCTGAAGTTCTCCCTTCAGCTTTATCGTTAATTTGACAGTGTAAGATAGTACAAGGATCAGTACTAGTCTTAATCAGAATTTTGGGTCTAATATTTGCCCCAACATGCAAATGATTACTGGTTTTATCATCCCTTTTCCTGTTAAAGAACTTCTCCACTGCAGAACAGTAATATAGTGAGTTAACGTGAGTGTTGACGCTAATTTAAGGAGTCTAAAAGCTGCTGTATTAGAAAAATAAATCAGTAATTGCTTCAGATCAATAGGGCAAGTAGTTTCCGCATGTATGTGATAGCAGGTAACTAAATACAAGACATGGATAATAAAATAACCTTTAACCCCATCAATCTCATTAGTAAATTTATCAATGATTACACGCCTTAAAACATCGAAAGTGCAACTAAAAAAGTAGTCTGTTTTCTTTAACTCCGTTTCTGATGGCTTAGGATTTCTGTTGTCCTTTGAAGTGCAAACAACACTGCATTTTCCAATAATTGATTCCTGAAAAAAAAAATGAAGTAAATTGCATCAACAAACGTCTACAAATTTTAAAACTGGCATTATATTGATCGGGACTTGATGCATTCTTTATGGGCATTTTTATAATAATAATCTCTCCTGAAAGAATTGATGTCTATTACTTTAGTAGTCTTTTTATAAATTATAACCAACCAAGTTATGGTGCAGAATGTCCATTTCACGCAATGATAAAAGATTGCTTAAGAACCATTTTCAACCTACCAAAATAAACAAATACACATTAACTTCAAAGAGATAAGTCCCTCATTACATGCAATCACCTCAACATTTGGACCCACCTTAAACCCCACATTTAAATAAGTCACTTCTCCAAAATAAACCTTCACACCAACTCAATCTTAAACGATAACTTGCTAAGCAATTATAACCGTACACGATCAATATGTAGCAGATAGTATCAGGAATTCAAGCAATTGATTAATCCAATTACCAGGTAGTTGATATTGGAAAGACCTTTGCCCTCACCAGATGCCAAAAACAACTCATTCCAACATGGCTGATACTTTCCCAGGAAGTTACGAATTTCCATAGGCCGGAAAAACCAAATAACTTTGATCATCTTTTCACGATTTGGTCTCTCGTATATCTTGACAAGCTTGGCAATGGAAGTTTCGACATGGCCTGTAGTGAACAAGTAGACAGAATCATATAGAAAATACTCCACACCCTCGTAAACAAAGGACTCATAGTACTGAGTGTCCTTGTTTTTCACACCAACTCCCCTCTTACTGCCCCACTTAAAATCTATCACTTGTCCAACATTTGCCGATGATGGGGATGACATCTTCTACTCACAAATGCCAAAACCTGAGACAAAATAAATGCATCACGTATTATTTAAAACAATAAAGAATAAATAAAACATGGTGGGAAGATCTAAGACGAGGAGTCACCTAAAAGGGTAAGCGGCAGAATAGTGAAAGGAACAACTTAGGGATTAGAAAAAGGGAAAACGTTAGAAAGTTGATGCGGGCCCAATGATTGTTGACGAAGAAGTTAAATAAAGAAAGTTAGAGTGGTTTCGTTGGTTCACTCACTCACTCACTCACTCACCAAAGAAGTGGTGACGTAGTGTATAATAGGAACAAAGCTTGACTTGACTCGAGTGAGTGTGTCACCTTTGGTTGGCGTTAAGTGCTTCTTCCATTTCACGCAACAATGCACAAGAGAAGAAGCGTTTGAGAGTTCAGAGTGTGTTAAAAGGAGAAAATGGAAATGGGTTTTGTGAAAGGTGGCAGAGCATGTGGTTTGGTTTGGTCGGTTGGTTAGGGAGAAATGGAGCAAGAAGGGAATGAAAAGTGAAAACGACGTCGTTGTTCTTCATCCGTACAGGGCTTGGGTTGACTGGTACTGTAGGCATGGAGGGCGTGAGGAATGGCCAGTAACTGCATCCTCAATCCTTCGTTTCGTGTTACCAGTTATTTATTATATCCATTTCACCAAAAATACATTATATTAATGGTAATTTATTATTAGATAATTAATTTTTTTTAAAAATTCTTTTCATATTTAAAACCAACAAATTCTATTTTCTAAAAGTACAATGAGTTATAATAATAAATAATGTTTTATAAAATTATATTGAGTAATAAAATTTTTTAATAAATAATTCAATTTTTGTTGTTGATTATAAATGTCTTCTTACAAAAAAAACAAAGTCGAAAACATATTACTAAAATTACGTTATATTCTACATGTTCAATTAATGTATTAATATCATTAAAATAATATACACAGTCTGCATGATTTATTTGATCTTCTCATTTCTCCATTCTTACACGAGTGATACCTCTTTCCCTTGCAAAATAATAATTTATGTAGTTCACAAAGATAAGATTTTAAGAAAGTAGAAAATGTCGATTATTGTTACCAATTTTCTGAATTGAATATCATCTTGTCTTGGGGCAACAAACATGATGCAAAAAACTACGAAAAGTGAATAAAACTGATGAAATGGTTTTGTAAGAACTTAACCTATTGAAATAATACCATTAAAAGTAAATGCCCAGTGGCTATTATAAACTCCAACTAATTCAGAAGCCTGAACCAAAAAAATATACTTAATCAATTGTCTCTAATAAATTCATACAACTTAATTTGAATTAATCACTAAGTACATCGCGACATTGAATACCAAAAATCTAAAAAAATAAAACCAATTGGACAAATTATAATCACAAACTAAAGTGATTTCTCTTAAAGCATTTCACAAATTTTCTAAGATCACACCAGATGAAAAGTTACTCCAGATAGAAAAGTACTTCGTGTTAATTCAAATAAAATATTAATATTTTGATATTAAACTCAACAAACACCACAAAATCACGTTTTATCAATCCAAAATATCCTAAACAAAAAATTATAAAATTATTAACCACCAATAATAATAATTATCAATTAACAATAATCAATTTCAAAATCAAAATAAAAATATATAAAATTGGAGACAAAAATTACACCGCGGATACAGCCACAGTGGCCGCGAATGCAGTGACAGCAGTCATAGACACAACAACAATCAATACAGAGATAAAAAGGGACGCGGAGGCAAATATGGATGCGAAACACATGTAGATAGAAGCGAACGTGGAAGCAGACATAAGAGAAAGAGACGAAGCATAGGGGGAAGAGAGATTTGAGTGAGGAGAAATTTAAATGCAAAAAGGAGAGGTGAAGGAAGAGAAAGGAAATAAAGAACGTGGAAATGGAGAAAGGGGAGGTGAGAGAGGAGAAAGGAGACGGAGAACGCGAATTAAGTTGGAGAGGAAATGAAGAATGCAAATTGAGTTGGAGATGAAAAATAAAATTTGACCGTTAGATTAAGAAGTGAAAATAAAAATAAAAATTTGAACTGTTAGATATACATGTTACAAGAAAAAAAATAATCGTTCACCTATACCATCCAAATTTTGACTGTTGAGTAGTTGTTCACTTGTACTTTTTTTATATTATAAAATTTTCATCAATGATAAAAAAATTTCATATATTCTTCGTTTCACCATTTTTTTTCTTTAATTATAAATCCTAATTAATTTAATTACTAGTATTATTATAATTTATCAAAATTATATTTATCTACCACCCGAATGACATCAAATATGAGTAACATTCCTCGTTCATCCAACATAAAGCCTTTTTCCCTGGTTGGACTTGATAATATAAAATTTGGGGGAAGCTGTGAAAATATATCTCAGAGAAAACCTCGTATAAAATTCTCAATACCAGAGGATATGATTCTAATTTGATCATAGTTGAATGTGTCGAAGGATCTAATTGTTGAAATTGATAAGTCATTAGTCCAATATTGAGAGCATATCAAAGAAGCATATAACAATGACGATGAACATAGCATTTTCATAAAGAGGTAAGTGAGACAATAAAAATCTTAACTTCATGTGTAGTTTAAAAATTTAATGCATGCTATAAACATGTTACTAATCAAAGGAAAAGTGGTTGAGTCGAGAAAGATGTTATGTCATTTACACATAAGAGTTTCACAGAAGATTCGAAAGGGAAAAAAATAATTTGAATATGAACATGCGTGGTTGTTATTAAGAGATGAACCAAAATGTCAATCGACATTTGTGGATGACTCTTCAAAAAGATGTAATATTTCTACTTCAAGCACAAACTTATCATCTTCTAACCCAAAGACAAAGTTGAAGAATATGACACAACATCATCAATATCTTATCTCATAGGACAAAAGACAGTCAAAAGAAAGAGCAAAGAAAAAGTCAGTGCAAGTACTACTCCCCATATTGATTTATCTAGCATAGAAAATTCAATAAAGGAAAAAAATTACAAAGTTTGATTAAATAATTGAGTTAAAAAAGTCACAAGAAATGCTTTTGGAATATGAAATCCTCAGGACACATCTAATATGTTCGAGAAGCAACGTGAAGATCACGAAAAATATTATAACTATATTAGCAAAAATGAGGATTTTAAATATATTAGTCATTTTAATAATTAATTGTATTTGTTTAAAATGTATTAGTCATTATGAAATAAAAAGTAGTTTTGTGAAAATTAACCATTGTAAAATTTAGCCGTTGTAAAACTAGTTATTGTGAATCTATCAATAGTTATGGAATGTCATGCAATCTCTCATATCTTGTAGTGTTACAATATTATTATCTATTTTCAAACACTTCAATCATCCATACAATGGAATTTGGAAACATTAATTTAGACGTATTATTAGATCAAGTCATAGATGGAGAATTCAAAGATAACAATGATAAAAAAAAATCATGAGGTTACTACTTGAGTACCAACAACAAGTCGACAAAAATGGTGATGACAGACAAAGAAGAAAGGTAATTCATCGAAATCGTGAGGATGACTATTTTGCTGAAAATCTAGTATATAGAAAATCTCAATTTCAAGAAGGTTTCGTATGCAAATGGAGGTTTTTGTCAGAATTGTGAAGGTCCATGACAATAACGATAATTACTTTATACTAAGGTTGGATGCAAAAATGTACTAATATTATTAGCATATTAACTTATGACTCAGCTGCTGATAGTGTAGATGGATATATTCGAATTGATGAAAGCACTGCAACAAAATGCTTACAATAATTTGTATCAAGCATTTGTACAATATTTGAAAAGGAGTATTTAAGGAGGTCTAACAATAAAGACATTGATCAACCAACAACTATAAATAGAAGCATATTGGCTTATGGTTCACCTGCTGATATTGTGGATGAATGTATTCAAATTGGTGAAAGCATTGCAATAGAATGCTTATAATGTGATTCATATCAGACATTTGTGCAGTATTTGAAAACGAATATTTAAGGTGACCTAACAACAAAAACATTGATCAACAACTACAAATAGGAGTGACACCTAGCTTTCCAGGTATGTTAGAATCAATTGATTACATGCATTGGGAATGGAAAAATTGTCCAATTACATGGAAATGTCAACTTTGTTGGGTCATCATGCTAACCCGACAATCATTCTTGAAGCTGTGACATCATAAGACTTATGGATTGAACATGTATTTTTTGGTACCGCGGGATCAAATAATGATAATATTGTGTTAAATGCATTTAATGTGTTTAATGAAGTTATGTCATATTTTGCAGTTACAGTAACATAGTGAATGAAATGCAATATAATATTACTTAATATTTATCGAGAGTTTGTCATATTTGTGAAAATTATTTCAATGTCATAAGGACAAAAGAAATTTATTTACTCAACTACAACAATCAACCAGAAGTGAAAATTATTTCAATGTTATAAGGACAAAAAAATTATTTGCTCAACTACAACAATTAGCAAGAAAAATGTTGAATGCACATTGTCTTAATTTGTAATTAAATGTGGTGACACAATTTTAAAATATTCATATACTAAAAAACATAATTTATATATATTATATTAAAAAATATAATTATTAAGAACAATCAACACACAAAATCACATTCAATATAATATTAGAAAAAATAACAATTATTGATATATCTTCAATTCATCATCCTAATTTTATGAATTTTAAAACATATTTTTCCAAATTTTATACCCGATATTTTCTAATGTTATTTAATTTTCATTATATTTATTTAAATATTATATATTTTATATTATTTTTATATTAAAATATGATAATATGTTATTAATTAAAGTAGTTAATTATTTAATAAATATATTTATTTAATTTTTATATAAAATAATGAATTATTTAAAATTGCTTAAAATTCTTCTAATGAAAATTGTTTAAGAATGATGGTAATGTGAATCCTTTATTTCTCTCTCTTTTCAAGAATGAAAGAACTCATTGAAGATGCTTGCATTGGAGATGCCCTTAAGTGGCATCAGCTGGAAGAGTGGCTCCAATGAAGTTCTTCTAAGAAAAATACCAGTGGTCTATGGTCTAGAATAAAAAGAATCATAATAATATATTGTTTAAGTGCTAAAGCGGTGTGTTATTTAGAAGGTCAGAATTATAAATTGAAGATGTTAGCTGGAAACAATCATGCTACTTTATAAATTGAATTTACAAATGTTATCTACTACTCATATTCCCGCTTTCTTTTAGTGGGAAATGACAAGCAACTCAAATGAGCATAAATATCGACAGCTAAAACACCTAAAGCTAACAAATCAAAAACACCCAAGAGAAAAGATGATGCCTTTGATCTCTTTCTCTTGGAAGTAATATTTGCTTAGGAAGAAAGAAAGAAATGAAAGAGGATGCCAAGAAAATGACAGGAAGGAGAAGGACACCTATTGTGTTAAGCTGAAAATGGGATGGACGACCCTATTGGCTTTGCGAGTTATATACAGAGAAAAGTTTATTAATGAAGGGTGATATAGCCGCAAGCAACGCCATTGGACACTCCTCGTGGGGTAGATGACCACATCCGGATATTGCAACCAGTCTCTGCACGTGGAATGGGAAAGAGAAATATTAACCAACTTAGAAAAAAAATTAATCATGTGCGTCATGATAAATGCTTGGGAAATTAAAGGAGGTGACAAAAAAAGTGGAATTTGAGTAAAGTATCTTTCTCCTTCCATTTCCACTCCTTCCTAACTATCATTGCACACCCTACCGACCCTATATCTCGTTTCCAAATAGTGGAGGATTAATGAATACAGAGAAACTAGAATACTTACAGAATTTACAAATTTGGACGCCATTGCTTGACAATATTTCGTTGACACGAGTGAATCTTCAGCACCGGCTATGACCAACACAGGAATATCTTCTACAGATTGTAGCAATAAGTCTGCATTTTTTGCACTAAGGATGGTTTCCGATGACATTTTACAAATCTCGTGAAGTGCTTCATCCCATCCTTCTACATATAGTGGAGCCTACATGTATTTAAGAACAGACACGAATAACACAAGTCAATAAAATATTTCTTCAAAATTGATAACAAAAACCACGATGAACACAACCCAGACGGGGTAAGTAACGAGGGGCAAGATCACATCAAAAGGTTCTAAACTAGAATTATAGTCAATATCTTAATAAGAAAATGTACAAGGCAAAGAGAGTATATGTAAAACTAATAATATAATAAAAAATAATGTTCAAACTAATAATACAATGTACTCAATATGCCAAACAATGTAAACATTGCATCGACTATAAGTGCCCTTTGGAAAGTTAAGTTCGTGAGAGTTAATTATACACTCTACATAAGTAATAACTTTACATTTTACACAAATAATTATTTCTGCAATTTGAAACTTTATAAAAGCTCCTACACATTTAGTTTAAGGTACAGACGCACCTTATACAGAGTCAAAACTTCTGTTGTCAGTTTGGTAGCATCATACCATGACCGCCGATTGACCACGTGGGTAATTTCTGTTCTTAATAGTGGACGAACCAAATGTTTCTTTCCAAGTGATGTATGCAGAAGGATTTTAGCAAAGGAAGGAACTACTTCCCTTGACAAGTTAACATTCAACAATACAACCCCTTTCACTGTAACCTGAATGACACAAAACAAGCCTAACAACTTAATTAAACGTGAGGTACACATTAACCACAAAAAATATAACCTAATCATATTAAGGATTAGCTTGATCAGACAACTTTATGGAATGTACCATGACCTATAAAAGTCAAATCTTCACATCCATAAACAAATATATACCAACCTACATAACATAACCCTTAACCATGGAATCCAGTTTTTTTATGTCTTGATCTTTGTGTTGCATACTAAGAAAATGAGACAAAATAGGCGTGGATATATGACTACGTATGCAAATTTTAATAGTAAATTGTAATGACCCAAATCGTGTCAAAAACAAATTATAAAGACTACAAAAAAGTATCATATTGCTTAAATTTCTTAAACCCCCTGTTGTTTGGCTGGAAAGTTTAAAGGAATTTTTGCTAGGACAGTACACATCAACTAACTTTTTGTAGCTTATTAGGCCTGCTTTACAGGTCTAGATAAAAGCTCAGCAGTACAATACAGCTAATTGCAGCGATTAAGATAATAACTATAACGTAAGAAAGAAGGAAGAAATACTCACATTGAAAGAATTCATTGATGTTTGAACTCTCTGTGCAGCCATCAGAGCAAGCAACCCTCCATCATCATGACCAATTAGCACAACCGAAGAAAATCCAATCTCAGAACAGAAAGACAAAAGGAGATCAACCTGGAACACACAAATAAATCAGATATGTAATTAAGATAAAACCCAGAATAAAAACTAAATACAAGTGTGCTTTTTTATCAATGCAAAGACTGTCTGTTAGTTGGAAAGGAAGTACAACTAACAATTTGACTTTTTATTGAAAGTTGAGCCATCTAAAAGGTCACCTGAGGACTAAATTTAGGTATAATATATCGAATACTAATAGGTAAGAATGAAGTTCCTAAAATGCTGATAGAGTAAAGCCACTTGGTTGGTTAAAGGAGGCAACAATTTTGAGTATCAGACAGGGTATGGTAAGAAGCTCAAGTGGTAAAAAGTCACGAAGTTCTCCCACATAATAGACTGGTGTATGGGTTGAGGCTCTCCTTGGGTGCTTAAGTCATAACATGGATAAACTGAAAGCTCCAGTATCTCCTCCAAAAGGAACTGGTACATTAAACTATAAAAAATAAAGAATGACTTCTCTAACAAAGCATTAAGGATTCTATATTAATCACCTGACTTTCAAGTTTATAAGGATTAGGCAGCTCTTTCTTCTCCCATTCCTCCCGACTCAGTCTTGAAGTCAATCCCCAACCAGGCCTGTCAAATGCAGCAACTGTGCAATTACTCTGCCGGGCCAGAGGGTCCATAACATGTCGCCAAGAGAAGACCCCTCCACCAAACCCATGTATCAAAACAATACCTACTTGACCAATGTCCACTACATTTTGCTCCGAAGACAAGGACTCTAATTTAATTGTTTCCTCGTCTTCACAAATTTCATCTAGATGCAAAACAGGGATTTCTTCATTAAGATGGGGAGAGGTTACTTGTCCATCTAAAAGAGGAGCATACAGAGATGAGCCACATAAGTGATTGCTATAGCTGCGGTAGAGTTGCCGTTGGACTTTTGGAGATATACACGTCAAATGTCTATTAAACTTTGACAACCTCCCAGACACTGATGAAAATGTTGACGACATATTAAGTGGAGGTGAACCAGGCATGCTGAGCTTGTAATGCAGAAAAAGACCTTGGTAGGGGATGAATAAGCTCTCTGAGTCTGCAAGTAATCTGAGTGGCAGTTCTTCATCACGAGCTGTTCCAAAAGTCCTCCTTTTCATTTCACCGTCACTTTTTGGGGTTCTCCCCTCGGAGGGAACAGGAGACCGAGGGACCTTCTGATATCCGGAGAAAACATTCTTGCACGAAAGGACCTGCTTAATTAGACAACAATAAACAAATTTTTAGTATGTGTATCAACTAAGTTAGCAATTTAAGCTTTCATGAGTTCAGAAATCTTCTTTATAGGTGAAGGAATATGTTACCATAATCTAATTCAAAAGAGTTAAAAAGAAACAAAACAACACTAAAATGTTATTCCCATGGCCGCAAACCCATCGCAAACTTACCGCTTCGGGGTCAACTCGATGAAACATGAGCTTCCTCCTTGCTCTGCAGCTGGTTCTATAAGCAACCACAGTGTGGCCAAGAGCAAACACAACTGACGAGAGAAATAAGACAGGCATTCCCCATGACTTCTTTAAATGGAGTCTCTGTCTTGTAGGGGAAATAGCAGCGTCTGCTTCAATCTGGGAGTTTACAGAGAAAACACAAGCTTTGACTGATAGGAGGACAATTGAGATGAAGGACGACAGAGTCACAGTTCCAAGGTAAGGACCGTGCGAAAGTGCCGGGCCATCACAAATGGAGTAAACACCTGCATTCATTTAAACAAACGAAAAAAAAGGCCCAATATGAGAACCAAACCTTTGTACATATAAAATCACACTAGTGAACACGCAGACAAAGATGTTACAACTACTGCACTTCATACAGATTCTGTATACAGAGTACACATTGAAAATCATTCTGTGAAAAAGTCCAATCAAACGGTATTAGAAAGGAGTAGTTCTGCTTTAAAAATCAAGTCAAAAAATATATTTCTCATCAACGTGCTCTGCATCCCTGTTGAGACACAATCTGATATCAGTGTCAAGGAGTACGAGAAATGATTCCCAAAAATAAAATAAAAAAGTAACGAGCAGAATATAAAGATAGCAGAATATAAGATAAAATAGAACCAACGTATCCTCCAACTTCAACACCCTCAACCTCAAGAAGAAAACGAGAGAAATGAAACGTCACGGGAATGTGTATTATCAGAAGCACAACGAATGATTCATTGAAGAGAATCATCATCATCATCATCATCATCATCATCGTTGTGCAACGTCATACATAATGCAAGTAAAAAGGCGAGGAATAACGGATCATACAGATAATGATGAGGGATCGTATGACCGAAACGAGAGGAATATCCGTCAAGGAGCTCTTGAAAGCGTAACGACGTAAATGCTCCTTGAAGCCGTAGCAGTTGACGCAGGTGAAGCTGGAAACGAGAACGCATGGGACGAGCACGTCGACGACCGCGACGAGCACCGGCAGTGACGTCACGAGCAGCGACGCCACCAATGCCGCCACGAAGAAAACCGTCCGAAAAAATCGCCGAAGCTTCTCGAAGCACTGTCCTCCCCTCGGCATCATCGCAGTTCCAACAACAAAGGGATCCGGCAGCCGGTAACAGTCACGTGGTTTAGAGAAAAAAGGAATAATCGGTTAATTGTTTAGTTGAGAGTTGAGAATAAGAGAGAGATCTCCAAATCCAATATCCAACTGAAACCCTAACTTGGCTAAATCGAACAGAGTGTTATCCGGCGGTGACTCAGCGGCCATCCTTGGCAGCGGAAGTTCAGTGTCGCCGGAATGATTGCGTGTGAGACAAGAAGAAAACCCTGAAAACAAACGACGATAGGGTTCCAGTGGACACGACCGTACACAGAGAAAGAGAGAGAGGGAGAGGGAGAAAGGGTGAAACGATGAAAAGCCCCTCTCAGATTTTTCACGAGTTTTGAAAATCCCTTTTGCCTTTCGCCTTCTCCAACCTCTTTCTTCTTTCTTCTTTCTTCTTTCTTTCTTTCTTTCCTTCGCTTTTTGTTTTCCTCCTCCACGTTCTATTTATTTAGTTATTAATTTATTTTGATTTCGCTATTAAATCTTTCTTTAATTGTTAATTAACTAACGAGCATGACTTGCTAAGTTGGCAGACAAAAAATCATTATTGGTTAATTATGTTCATTTGAGAGATTTTACACTGTTGAATTGAATCAGAGGCTGTTATGTATTATTTTCCACTTCATTTATTCTTACACCAAATTCCATTTAATTTAACTCTTTATTTTTAAATAATATAATTTTTCTTTAAAATAAAATGAAAACATTGTTCCTTGGTATTTGATAATATAGCATAAACTATCATCACTAACATCATTTGCTTACTTAATCAAAAGTGTGCGAAGAAGTCAATATTTTTAAGAATGCAAAAGTACAAACGGCACCATGTTCTTGAGCCCTGAAACGGTCTCATATGAGTTTTTTAATTTGAATAACAAGCACAAGGCCACGCATGCATCGTCACAAAGGTTTTTAAATTTTAAAATACTCACTCTAGTCATTTTACAGGTCTCTGTGATGTCAGAGTTCTGTATATTTCTTTATACTTTAATATTTCATTTTTATTTAATTAATCCTAATTAGCGTTTCGTTGGGTGAGGTATGTTTGTTCAACTTGTCTAAGTTCATCATTCAAAAAATAATAATCCTCACTCATACCAAATTATTAAATATTAAAAATGCTTTATTATTATTATTATTATTTATAATATTCTTATATCTTTTCCTTGTTAAAATAAAAATAGTAGGGTTTGATTCAAAAATCGTAACGGTTAGAGGGAGGTGGTCCGCTAGTGGACCCCACAAAGCATGAGTCACCCTCACCACTCAGTCACAGCCTGTTCCGTTGCTCGGTAGTTGCCACGTGTACTCCGTGAGAATCTTTTGGCTTCGCATGTTATGTCATGTTTGACTCTCTCTTCTGTTCCGATCTGTTAGAATAATAAAACAATAATAATAATAATTAAAAATATAAAAATAAAGGAATTCAATTCTTCCTTAACACATAGTCCAGGTTTCAACGTATCCGTTGCTACCTCCTACTCTTCAACGGCCTTTTCACCACAACCGCAATATTCAAATTCTCTTTCGATGATAAATATCTATAAACTAATTAAATACCTCCTATCAACCATTACTATTGAATTTATGTTTTTACGTTATTATAACCTTTTAATATGTTTATTTTTATTTTCTATATTTCAATTTTAGAACAATACGTGTTCTTTTAATTCATGAACCTACATGTGAATACTTATAGTTATTATGAAAGATATCTTATTCATGATTTTTTAAAATCGTGATTATATTTTTTAAAATAATCATGACAGAAGTTAATAACTTTATTACATCCCGATCATGCTTATATTATCTAATTAGATGACATTATAATTTTTTTATAATGTTAGAGAGAAAAAGAACTTCATGATTAAAAAAAAAATTGTATTGTTTGATGAATCTGCAATTTACAAGCTTTGTAAGAAAAGTCATGCATGGGTCTGGTTTCTTAAGGCACATCACAGCATAGGAAGTACCAAGGCATCAGCTACAGTTTTGTCAGAGACAAGATGGGCAATTAATTCATTATTTTTCCTTCCCATAATTTTTTATTGGCTAAATAGGGTGAGATAAAATTTCATAGCTAAGAATGATAATTTATAATATATAATTAAAATATAAATTGAATTTTATAAATTTAAATGATTAAATTAAATATTTTTTATTTTTAATATGATATTAAAATTAACTTTAATTATGATTTTACCAGTATTTTTAGTGTGAGAAATATATGTTAAAAATTGAAGATTATTATCCGAAACATATTCTGGAATCTAAATATATAAAAATGATAATGTATAAATAAAATAAATTTTTCTGTTGTAAATTAATTTTATAAAAATAAATTAAACGTAATTTTCTTTCTAATATTTATTTATGTTATGATAACATACACTAAAGTGGAGAAAAAGAAATTAAAATTTTATTTTATTTATTTATTTTTTAAAATATTTTTAAAAATAAAATTTAAAAACTAAAAGATAATTATGTTTTAAAAAATTATTCTAAATAAAAAAATACAAAAAATCACAACAAAAGATAAAATAATTTTAATAATTTTATATTAATAAAAATGAATTATTAGTGAAAATATTGATAAACAGAAAATAATTTTTATTATTTTTTTTTAGATTTAAAAAAAATATTAATTTTTTTTAACAAAACAATTATTAAAAAATAGTTTAGTTTTGAAATTTTTAAAAAATTTAAACATACTAATCTTGATTTTTTTTATTTAACTCGTTTAATTTTTTCAAATAATTTTGTTTATTATTAAATATCAATTTTTTATTTTAAAAAATATTTTAATTACTATCAAATATAAATAAGTTATAATTTGTAAATTAAGTTAGTTTACACTATTTATATATTCATAATATATTCATAGATGAGAATTAAGTTAAATATAGAAAGATTATATTAAGATGAGTCGAATTTGTATTAGAATGAATTAGGTTTGATTAAGATAAATTAGAGTATATTAAATCAAGTTAAGTCAAATTAGTTGGTAATCGAGTAAAATAAATTAAGATGAAATATGTTGAATAAACTCAAGATAAAATGAATTAAGTTAAAAGGGATCAAATTAAGATTAATCTAATGAGATAAATTAAGTTAAAATAGATTAAATCGGGATAAGTTATATTTAATTTGCGTAATTAATTTTAAATCAATTAAAAAAAGTTGAAGAAATTAGGTCAAAATGGATTAAGTCACAATAATATAAGATAAATCAAATTAATAATTACTAAATTAAAATAGTTTAAATATAATTATAACATATTTAATTAATTCAAATAAGATTAGAACAACTTAAATCAGATTTAATTAGATAAATTATTCTTATATACATCTGTATTAAAATATAGATGAATAGAAATATTTATTAAAATAAAAATTATTAAAAAAAGGACAAAATTTTGAAAATGAAAAAAGAAAAATTCTTAAAATACCTTTATTCATTTATAAAATTTCACTTATTTTTTAACTTTTCTGATTCAAATTAATTTTACGAAGAAATATTTCAAATAAAGAATTATCTGTCATAATTTTTTCTTGGAGATGGTAAGATTTTGGAGCTTTTTTTCTACCCTGGGACTCTGAATCTGCTTTTGAAATGGAAATAGACACTATGCAGTCCAAAAGATATTATTATTTGAGTCACTTTTTAACCAGTACTTGGAGAGAATAAAAACCATTCCTAAAAATATCATTGCTCACTTTAACCATCTTTATGTTACTCCATCTTCATACACAAAAAAAAGAATCCAAAGTGTTTATTGCTTTGTACCAGAACTGTCACAGGGATGTAATCATACACTGATTTTCCGTTAGAAAGACAGAAGAATCTCTTTTCTGCCAAATTTTGTGCGGTAACACAATAGTGGCAACCTCGGAATCCACCTTTTACTTTCTCAATCGGAGCATAAGCTCACTCTGCATTTATATACACTCTATATTTTTTTTTTTTCATTCCAATATTTCGATTTTTTTTATTTATTTTCTGACTATTACCATTTTTCATAAACACTATTCAGCAAGTTGCAGCCTCGAAAACAACAACGCCATTGATTTGATTTGATGCAATTTGTGTCGTATTTTTTCACCCCCTCTTTCAATTATTAAAGTAATTCAAAGTACTTTTTAGACAGCATGAACAGATTTTGATGATCATATGGGCCATTTCATACTTTCTTTGTCTGAATCAAAACTAAAAAACATATTATCACGCCTTATTTCTGAATCTTCTGATACAAAGTTACAACTAATCTTTGTATTCTACTTCCAGAGTTGATTATTCTAAATCTCCTGGAATCACGCAATTTGATAGGGTAAACCATAAACTAAAAAATGTTTCAAAAGAAGAAAAAAAAGTCAATAAAGTACTCTATCTGCAAGAATTTTGAGGTGGTGTCAGAAGAAAGAGTCTGTTTTTCAACTCACCGTTTCTTTTCCACTTCCAATGCTCAAATTTTCAAACCGAAACAAAATAATTTATCATGTAATTAAACAAAAACACAAACCCATAAACGACACTGAGCTGTTCTGCCAGCGCAGCTGTTATAACCTAATTAACGATATATGGCGAGACAGGTAGATAAAGTATGGAGCAATCCCTGTCTCTTGCAACAAATTGTGGAAACAATAGAAGGATCTTTGGGCATTACATTATTGCATATAAACAATGAAGCAATGATGCAAAGCCTTAAACATGTTTCGATTTGTTACTAATCTTTTTTTCTCTCTTTCCCTCCTAAGGTAAGCATGCAGCTCAGAGTATTTGTGTTGGCATTCATATATGTTCGTGGTCCCCTTTTGTCATAAGCTTTAACTCTGCATCTACTCCAACCTATTTGGATTCTTGTGCTTTGAACCTGTTGTATAATTCAAATATTCTCCATAATAATGTTCTTAGTAAAGACACAAACAATAAAACAATTCCAACACTAAGTCCAGACCAACTTTATCTTGTTCAG